TCTCAACATGAGAACGAGTGGCTCATTTTCTTCTAGCAATGTTTATCTTTTTTCAGATGTTGTACTTTCAATGGTATTTATAAACGCAGAGTAAAATTTTAAATGTTTGGTATAAATTTGTTAAATAATTCATCTTCAAAACAAAATTTCAGAAGATAATGGGAAATATCAGAGAATAATGATATAAATTTTAAAAAAAGAAGAAGAAAACCCAACACATCTTTGATTAAAATTGAAAATCCAACAATTTTAAAGTCAAATTGACCTCTAACATTCTACACACACTGAACAAGTACATTACCGAAACATTTCCGACCGTGCGAGGGCTTTATAGCCAGTCAAGGTCGTTAAAAAACCCCATAAGTAAGTTAGTACCGAAACATCTCAACGTGTTTGAATAGAGCCCGTTTTTAAACGCGTACTGGACATAATTTTTATATTTCTATTCAGAATTTCTACATTTTATCAACCGTTAGTGAACTATTTTTTAAGGTTATGAATCCGTGGCTTCATTGCATGTTCAATGCAAAATAAATTGTGTGTGAAATACCGGTAATTTTAATGAAAGCTTTTTGAAGGTCGTTGATAGCTAGGACGCCAATTCATGAGGGCATGACAAATTGTCACTAATGTCCAATCAGCTTTTTCTGTTGTACAAAGTTTGACGTGCGATTGTGCTTGAACAGTGTAAATTACATTGTCATAGTTTTATGAATTGTCTTCGAACATCATAAGACTATTTACTATACTATTGTGACTTTGTCATCCTGATTCAAATCTAAATTGATTTAGAAAAAGTACTTTGCAACCGCTGAGAAAAAGTTGAGTGTATTCCACATTAGCTAGATGCATAGGGGAGGGTTGAGATCTCACAAAACATGTTCAACCCCGCCACATTTTTGCGCCTGTCCCAAGTCAGGATCTCTGGCTTTTGTTAGTCTTGTGTGTGTGTGTGTGTGTGTTTTTTCAATTTTGATTTATTTTTATGTTTCGGAGTTTAATGTGGCGTCCATTTCGCTCAACTAGTAAACATTATTGTTTAGGGGCCAGCTGAAGCCAACCTCCGGTGCAGAATTTTCTCGCAGCGTTAAAGATCCATTGGTGACATTGGGCTGTTTTCTGCTCTTTTGTCGGGTTGTTATCTCTTTGATACATTCCCCGTTTCCATTCTCTATTCTATTAAATTAAATACCAAAGGTAGCGTTAGGAATTCAAAGGACATCTGAGCTAGAATAATCAGTTTAATCTTAAAAGTATTGATTTATATCATATTATTAATTTTCGTCAAAATGTCACCTCGGTAGTGTTGACCGGATTTGGCTGTTCTGTTAATGCCCTGTCTGTTTTTATTATCACTTTTAAGTTTTTTTCTTCTGTTTTTAGCTGTCCAACTCTTGATAACGAACTTTACTATAAAGGGTATTGCAGTTTTTAAAATATATTGTTTTGTACATAAATCAGGCCGTTTGTTTTCTCGTTTGAACTGTTTTACATTTGTCATTTCGGGTCCTTTTATAGCTGACCATGATGTTTGAGTAGTTCATTGTTGAAGGTCTTACGGTGACCTATAGTTGTTAACTTCTATGTCATTTGGTCTCTGTTGGAGTGTTGTCTCATTGGCAGTTATAACATATCTTCCTATTTTTATATTATATTCATTTGGAGGGCATTCAATTATAATATGACTTTTTTGTGTTTCCTGTCGCTTACAAAGATATAAGTTTTATGTGTATTGAATTACGTCAGACAGTTTTGATTTTGATTATCATTATATCTAGTATTATTTATTTAAAAGTGATTAACTGTAGACCATTTTTTAATGACGATATTCATGAATAAACTATCTAAACATGTAGTGTCATTAAATTAAGTTGTATATATGACCTATTTATTGAGTGCAAAAAGCATTTTTCTCGAATTTTGAAGGAGTAAAACCACTAATGTATTGTTCAATTGCTCTCTGTTTAACATTTCTGCAATTTCAAGCATTCAGAGATATTTGTCTTGAGTTCAAATAAAGTGGCAGTCATTTCATGTCAAAACTATACTCGAAAAAACGTAGTCTGTACTGTGTTATTAGAAAAAAAAACACGATCCCAACAGGACACTTTCCATTCCTTCTGTGATTAACGTATGCAAAATTCCAAATAAAAACTTTTTTAAGACTGATTACAAATAAAAACAATAAGATAATGTTAAAGAACTTATTCAGTAAAACGTTTGCCCAGAATTTTCTTTAAATGATATGATAACAGTAAATGTTAAATGTCTTTTCATTACAAGTTATTCATATGACATGTCTTTAGATATGTTTTATAAGTTTCGGTGCCTGCAAGTATTCGAGCAACAATCTTATTTCTAAATTAAGATTAAAATTCCTTATATAGAAAGTTGTATTGAATTGAAGTTACTACCGGATATATAATAAATAAAAGTCTGTTGATAGTCTGATATTTTATCACATGCAATGGCCAATAGATTTTCCAGTTCTTAACCTATTTTATAAAGGAAAGGTGCAATTCCAAAGGTAGATCAAAAACTTTGATCATTCATACTTGACAGGTGAACGATAGCAAAATCTAATTAAGAATCTACGTGGCGCAGCCAAAAATAGCAACATTAAGAAAGTTAACAAATGACTTGTGTGTGTTTTTTCAATTTTGATTTATTTTTATGTTTCGGAGTTTAATGTGGCGTCCATTTCGCTCAACTAGTAAACATTATTGTTTAGGGGCCAGCTGAAGCCAACCTCCGGTGCAGAATTTTCTCGCAGCGTTAAAGATCCATTGGTGACATTGGGCTGTTTTCTGCTCTTTTGTCGGGTTGTTATCTCTTTGATACATTCCCCGTTTCCATTCTCTATTCTATTAAATTAAATACCAAAGGTAGCGTTAGGAATTCAAAGGACATCTGAGCTAGAATAATCAGTTTAATCTTAAAAGTATTGATTTATATCATATTATTAATTTTCGTCAAAATGTCACCTCGGTAGTGTTGACCGGATTTGGCTGTTCTGTTAATGCCCTGTCTGTTTTTATTATCACTTTTAAGTTTTTTTCTTCTGTTTTTAGCTGTCCAACTCTTGATAACGAACTTTACTATAAAGGGTATTGCAGTTTTTAAAATATATTGTTTTGTACATAAATCAGGCCGTTTGTTTTCTCGTTTGAACTGTTTTACATTTGTCATTTCGGGTCCTTTTATAGCTGACCATGATGTTTGAGTAGTTCATTGTTGAAGGTCTTACGGTGACCTATAGTTGTTAACTTCTATGTCATTTGGTCTCTGTTGGAGTGTTGTCTCATTGGCAGTTATAACATATCTTCCTATTTTTATATTATATTCATTTGGAGGGCATTCAATTATAATATGACTTTTTTGTGTTTCCTGTCGCTTACAAAGATATAAGTTTTATGTGTATTGAATTACGTCAGACAGTTTTGATTTTGATTATCATTATATCTAGTATTATTTATTTAAAAGTGATTAACTGTAGACCATTTTTTAATGACGATATTCATGAATAAACTATCTAAACATGTAGTGTCATTAAATTAAGTTGTATATATGACCTATTTATTGAGTGCAAAAAGCATTTTTCTCGAATTTTGAAGGAGTAAAACCACTAATGTATTGTTCAATTGCTCTCTGTTTAACATTTCTGCAATTTCAAGCATTCAGAGATATTTGTCTTGAGTTCAAATAAAGTGGCAGTCATTTCATGTCAAAACTATACTCGAAAAAACGTAGTCTGTACTGTGTTATTAGAAAAAAAAACACGATCCCAACAGGACACTTTCCATTCCTTCTGTGATTAACGTATGCAAAATTCCAAATAAAAACTTTTTTAAGACTGATTACAAATAAAAACAATAAGATAATGTTAAAGAACTTATTCAGTAAAACGTTTGCCCAGAATTTTCTTTAAATGATATGATAACAGTAAATGTTAAATGTCTTTTCATTACAAGTTATTCATATGACATGTCTTTAGATATGTTTTATAAGTTTCGGTGCCTGCAAGTATTCGAGCAACAATCTTATTTCTAAATTAAGATTAAAATTCCTTATATAGAAAGTTGTATTGAATTGAAGTTACTACCGGATATATAATAAATAAAAGTCTGTTGATAGTCTGATATTTTATCACATGCAATGGCCAATAGATTTTCCAGTTCTTAACCTATTTTATAAAGGAAAGGTGCAATTCCAAAGGTAGATCAAAAACTTTGATCATTCATACTTGACAGGTGAACGATAGCAAAATCTAATTAAGAATCTACGTGGCGCAGCCAAAAATAGCAACATTAAGAAAGTTAACAAATGACTTTTGAATAGGGTAACAAAATGATATGTATGAAAACATTGCAGATAACATTAATGAAACATACAAAAATATCTGTTAAACACGGTAAGTGATTTGTTATTACAACTGAACTATAGACATAATAATAATAATGATAATATAATAATAAATGAACGAATGAATTATTAAAAAATAAACCCTAATGAATATCATAAAAGATATACTTCTTACGTGCATAGTCGTTCATCGATTTATAAAGTCTTTTCGCAAATATTAAAAATCTCAGATGTGTGTTTTACTGAACGAGGCATAAAATAAGAGATGTCAAATTCCTTTCATTTCTTAGTTTAACTGCACTGTTGTAGAATAACAACTCGGTTTCCTGATACGAAATCTCAGGAATACAATTCAGTTTTTATCAAGCCCATATATAGAAATAATTAATATGTAAAGTTCAGATAGAATACAATATTTTTTACAGATCGTCATTGTAGAAAAAATGATAGTGGGATTGATTTTAATAACCATTCTGGAATACCTTGTAAGTAAGAAAACATTTTTTTAAAACAATTTTATCTGTAAGCGTTGTCAGATATCTCCAATTCCTATTGTTTAGTTTGTTATATTCGTGTGTTGTAGTGTAATGATTGCAAAAATAAATTAAACAAGTATTAACCCGAATAATTCAGTCATTATGTCATATGTATGTATGTTAGGTTTTATATTTGTTCCTCCTAACCTAAAACAACTTCCTCTGGAAACTTTGTTATAAACAATGCTATACTATCTGTTCCTATTGAAACACATATTCTATACACCTTTATTCCACCAGGGACACATACTGTAATATTTCTTCCAGTGGAAATAATATTTTAGAATATTTGTGAAGTTCGGACCTAATATTATAAAGGAACTTCTATTCCATGCAATTAAAGAAGTTTAACTCTAAAACGCGATCCTGGATTTTATTCTGTCTAACAATTAATATAACTGCCGGCCCTCATACAAGAGAAACTCATTGCTTGAACCCAAACGCCTTGATTCGTCAGAAATACGCAATCAAAGAAAAAAACCGCTACATTAAAAATTATTTTTTATCACAACACGTTTTTATCATTACAAGTAAACCAGTCCATTAAGAATAAAACGTATCAAATTAATCTCCAGATGTTCAAAGAAAAGAGATGATGTCCTATTACACAGGAATGCATAATATAGGTTCTAATGTTGTTCTTATTTCACAGATTCCAAATTATAATACAAAGCATATAGGTTAAGATTGGAGGATCTGATTGAACGATACCGAAGTATCCATCAATATTCCAGTTATCTCAAATAAGGGTCGTGATATCAAAAGAAACGTAACGGAATGAATTGAAACGGAACACCCATTAGATATTTAAAAAAAAAGATTCATCGACAATAAAAAAAAATTTCAAAAACTTTTAAGCTTTTTCTTAGAGTTTCACACTAGGATAGGTATTGAATCCATGACATTATGTCTTTCAGTCTTGCCTTATTCTTATTGAACAAAGTTTTGATAACAATCTTGTGCATGTATATGTAAATTTATGATAAAACAAAGATGTCATTGTTTCACATTTGTCATGTCGGGGCCTTTAATAGCCGACTATACTGTGTGGGTTTTTCTCATTGTTGAATGCCGTACAGTGGCCTATAATTGCTTCATTTGAACTTTGGTGGATAGTTGTCTCATCGTCAATCATACCACATCTCCTGTTGATTTTATATCATATGGTATGATGACTAGAGGTGACCAACTTGTAGACAATGGTCGTATATGATCCACATTAAAGAATGCATTTGAATTATGTTTTTAGGTATCCGTGAGTCCTCTCCCAGATAGACGGGGACCAACAGGAAACTGTCGTGATAGAGATGGTATAATACTGCCGATATCAGAATTTGAGATATCGACGTGTGCAATGTGTTACTTTTATCTTATAAAAGAAAATCCCAAATTGTTTCCAGTAAAGCGTTGCAGCACTAATAGTAAAACGGTTTGTCTAATGGAAAAGAATAAAAACAATAACATTCATTACTGTCATTGTCCTTCTATAAGCAATGCAAGCTCTTTGGTTTACATTGAAAATTCTATTGGAAAAAAGAAGCTTTCCAAACAATGGCATCAGTGCTGTAAAGATGCAGCAAATTGTTGCAATGAACAAACATGTAGTGAGGACATTGACGAAACGTCTGAAGAAAGGGGTGATACATGTCCACATACCTGGGATGGGTGGATGTGTTGGAATAAAACATCAAAGGAAACGGCCGTGCACAACCAATGTCCGAGATTTTTGTCTTTGTCTGACTATAGAGGTACGTATTATGACCTTTGAACAGGACAAGAATTGTATTTGTATTCAATCATTATTTATGCATATCCTTCTTTAGAATAATATTTAAGCAAGCACTAATTAATTAAGACCCCGTTCACACTAGCTTTTTATAAATCGATCTAAATTTGAATCGATCTAAATAAAACCAGTTAGCGTTCACATTATCTTTAACCCTAACGATCTCTACCGGTCTAATCTGAACCACTGCGTTCACACTACATGTACAAATGCATTCGATCTGACCTTATTGCCCGTGACATTGTAAACACTGTGTATAAATAGAAATAGCTAATCAAATAAATGTGTTGATACACACGCTTGCAAAAAAATAATGGACGAAGTTATTGTTTCATTTGAATAACAAGGTCAAATGTTGGTACTGCTGTTCGTGTAGTTTTCGTTAATTTTCGGCCCTCTTATGTTGGTCATCCATTTCGTAATAAATTGCACGTGTGATTTTGCCGCCATACATGCGCACAAATTATTTTCGATTCAATCGTACTAGTTTAGATCGATCTCAGCGTTCACATTTAAAGTTAGATCGGTTTACATGATGATAACATCGATCTAAAGTGAACCGATCTAGTTTAAATCGATCTAAATGTCCAAGTGTGAACGGGGTCTAACAATAACCCAAATGACGACAATAATTTAGGCTGTTCAGAATAGAACAATAATACTTGTAATTTAATTTTTACAATAGAAAATGCAACTAAAATTTGTACTGGGAATGGTACGTGGTGGATAGACCCAGACACGCTTCAAGAAAGAACAGATTATTCTAAATGCCTGTCGAAGGATGCTTTACAGCGTCTGGAGGTACAGTACAATCATTATTTTTCTATCAAACTATGCATATAATATGTTTAATGTACATCTCACCGTTTAATGAAAAGAAGATAGTTGGTCTTTGAATAAACTAAATACAGCTTATCTTGATTTTAACGTTTTTCTTGTACAGTGCATCACTATATAGGGTTTCAAAAGCAGATAAAACATTGAGAGGAAATCGTATGATACCGTTAAGTAAGATAAGTGCGAGCGCATTACACGTCTTTCTGGAAAAGCTTCAGGTACGCTCACAAGCAAAACTACAAACTAAAAAAAAAGAAAAATATTATAAACTGAAAGCATTTAAACGAAATGGGCCGACACAGAACAGCCATGTATATCTAACGTTAACTTTACATGACAGATTTGCAACATTAATTAATGAACTAGACTGACAATGTGTGTTGCATTCCGATCAGTTCAGGGTTTATTTACAATACATGCACTCACATCCCTTGTCTAGATCTCACACACATTTAAAAGGGTTTATTTTGTGTGACAAATCTGTAGCCATATAAAGTAACATTTTTTACATTTTTTTAGAAAATTTACTTAGAAAAATTCTTATAATTTACTTTGAATATAAACTTAGAATATGAAAAATAGATGGTGGGTCTACATTGTACGTCAATTATACAACGCAAAAAACACCATACAAGATATCAATTTGGTCAACATAGGTCTTCAACAATAGACAAGTGTCTTTAGAAAATGCCAAGCTCTAATTCGCACGAAGTCCAGAAAAGTTGTACGTAAATTTAACAGATACCATCAAATATCTACGTAACCATCAACGCCAATTTCCATAATTGACAGAAAAGCAACACAACATTAAGACATAACTAAAGACAACAACGGGTACCACGGGTTCCTGCATTGGTATAGACACGGGAACATTTTGAGGGGGTTAAACGGATTTAAGGAATCTCCAGTCAGCCTTTTTTATTTTTATCAGTTAAGCGAACAATAAAAAAAAGTACGAAAACACTTCACTGTATAATACTGATATAATAAATGTATAAAAAAGAAATCATGTTAACCAACAATTGAAAATGTCGCAATAAAGAATGCTTACATTCATTGAAAGCAAGCTGAAGGTAAGTTAGAATTATTTTACATCAATCATACATTGTTCTATCGGCAGCTGTACCCTCAGGAGATTTCAAATAACAGCATTTAAAGTACAAGAGGACACTATTCTGTTCCATGCACAAGAGTAGATCTGTACATAATTAAAAAATAGAAGAAAAAGAAGAGAAAGTTGTTTTATTTCGACATCAAACTTAGTGAATTGATATTGTTCCACAAAAATACCCAACGCAATTATTGAAATATAGTTAACCACTTCTTTATATATCTTAAATTACTAGTTTTATTGTAAATAGAGTCGGAAACTTGAGAAAAACTTACTTTTTAGCTTTTAAGAAAATATAATAAAGAAATCGATCAGGGAAAATGTTGCTATTATTGTTGATAATCAATCCTCGATCGTGTTAAAGTGGATTTCCAACTATTTTTGGTCTCAATGCGAGACAACAACAAAAAGAGACGATGCCTAGGGTCATTCGAAAATAATAAATCAAATAAAATCAGATAGCACCATGACAAATAATAAGCTGCGCCATGAGCGCATGATACGCCCGTCGCTTTTTCAACAAATAAAGTTCCATAACTCCTCAATGTCATATCAGAAATTTATAAACAAAACTAAAGGGAGCTTATTTTAGTAAATATAAACCAGTCACAAAAGTCTCATGAAAACCGCTCAAATTATTTTTGAGTTATTGTCCGAAAACTAGAAAATCACCCCTTTTTATGAAAAAAATCTCAATCAGAAACGTAAAATCGAAAATTTACAAAAATCGAGGGAGCTTACGTCAATAGGTATAAATAATTCATTAAAGTTTCATGAAAATTGGTTAAAGCGTTTTTTTAGTTATTGTTGACGACGGATGGACGGAAAGACGTACGGACGGACAACGGTATACCATAATACGTTCCGTAAACGGGCATATAAAAATAAACGACAAAAAGACAAAAATTACAAAAATGCAAAATGCATTAAATATCAAGGAATATCAAATTCAAAAAGTTGAACCTCAACCTTGGTTTACATCGAACCAAAAATAAAAAAGATCCATTATTCAAGGGACTTGTGACTGGGTTGATGTTAATATGCTCGATGACGGACAGTCTAACAGCAGATTTTAGTGTACGTAAAATATGTGGTTTTTTTTTAATTTTCAGTTTCATAAGATTTCAACAATAGTGAGCCTTTCTATCAACGCTTTTGGAATTTTTTTGCTGATTCCTGCAATTATCATTTTCATTCGTTACAGGTAACAAAAGTTTACATGAATTACTTTTAATTCAAAGTTTAATAGTGAGACATTTTTATTCCTGACAATGGGAACATAATGACGTCATTAAGTGTAATCGGACTGTTGTGTTATATAACGGTGCATAGTATAAAAAAGTTTTAACAAAAATACCGAACTATAAGTTTAATTCAAAAAGGGGGAAGTTCATTAAACCTGACAATATCAAACGTTGGACTTCATCAACAAACGGAACAAATGGAAAATAACTGTCATATTCCTGACTTGTTACAGGATTTCCCGAAGAAAATGGTGGGTGGGACCTGGTTTTATAACTAGTTAAACCTCCCACTTGTATGACTGTTGTTTATAGGTCCTATATATTGACAAAAATGGATAGCAACCCAAACAGACATAATTGGTTAATGTGACACTAATTGGGATCCAGCAGCCAAAACTGTGAACATACATCACAAGCATACACAAAGCACAACTGACTAAATGCAAACAAACATAAATATAAATCTGACAAAGACACAAACATAAAAAGTTTTTTTTAGGTGATAGTACACACAATTATTAAAACATAATGCCAGACTAGTATAAACTCACCCGGAAAAATACAAATTAAGTAAAATATAGATACACGAGTATACAAAATGGTTAATTGACTGATTGATGTTTAACGCCACTTTCAGCACTATTGGTTATTCCGTGGCGGTCAGTTTTTGTTGGTGGAGGAAGCCGGAGTGACCGGAGAAGTCCACCGACTTTCAACAAGAAAACAGACAACCATAGTCAATTAAGATTGGAGTCGAACGCACCTGCCATGCTACCAGGAACGCTAAACAAAACCCGAAAGCTGGAAATACAAATGCCGATATAAGTCAAGAGTCATACGACCAAAAAGAACATATTAGTACAAAGACAAATAATGGGAAAACTGTCACGTACGATATGTAATAAGGGATAACAAGGGCAATCAAACATTTGTTATTACACGTATTATAGAATATCAACATGGAACTGATTTCCATCCTATGACGTCATTCGGTACCCATGGTCAGGGACAAAATGTTTCACTTTGTACTATGGTCTAATCAATGAGCTATTGAATCAGAACAAATGTCAAAAAATATAAATGAGTTACCAATATTTTATCAAGAAAAAATTATTGCCCTTTGAAAAAAATATTTCCAAGACTTTTCAATGGTGACGATTTTATCAAAATAATTGATACCGATCGTAAGAAAACACCAAAAAGTCCCAATTTAAATTGAATAAATATATTCGAAAGTATAAAATAAAAAAAAATACAATGGAAATAATTTTTTCTTTTTGGGGGCGTAAGATATGTGTGATTTAGAATTTGACTGGGAAATTATCGTACTTTTCCGCACATTTTATTTTTTGTCGGTGATCACTTTACTGTTCTCACTAAGAACACTTTTATTGAAATTCATTAAATTTGAATTATTTCCATGTCAATATTGATTTTGTTCTGATTATTCTATTATTAATATTTTTCTTCTTCTTCCGCCAAGTTTGTTTGTTATGTGTAATTTTTTTGTTCGCAACATGATGCTAAGAAATTTGGTACTTGTATGTTATCGTATAGTTATTGCGCTTTTGACTATATGTGTTGCTTGGTGACGTCACAGCGCGAGCTACCAAAATGAAACCGGGGTTTTCTTCCATTCGAATAGAATTAGAAATGTACACCTTAATTAAACAAAAGTAGGTCCGATTTCCTTACAAAAAAATGCATACACAACAAATAAATAAAACATAAGTCCGATGTTCCGTAGAAAAAAAAAGAAAATTTAAACAAAGTACTTGATGCATCCAGGGCGTCCGTTATGGCTGTGCGGGATGTTGAATACGCAGCCACATTCGGTCAGAATGGGAACGTTATATCTGATGCCTCGCTAAGAGTGTGCCATGCACAAATTTGTTTCGGTCTCATGTGTTTAATAGGGGATCCGTTTCTTGTGATCCTGTCCCATGTGTTTATTCACTCAACCAATCAATCAATTAATCGATCATCAATCAACCATGTTTCGAAGGGGGAAGACCGTTTACAATTGTTTTTGAAAATAATTGATTTATATTTCTGATTAGATTGTTGTTTTACTCAATCTGTAGGCATATTCTACAGGTCTAGTTTAATAATGGCGATCGTAGAGATCTTGTTTTTTTAAATTTAATGTTACGATGTTTAGTTTGAGAATTTATTCCTAAACTAATCTTAATGATTTACCAATGCATAGATATGATACAGGGTATATATATTTTAGACCAATTTTATTCTAAACGTAAATGATAAGTAAAGAACATGTATCTTCCAGAAATCTACGCCGTCAAAATAGAATAAAACTACACATTAACCTGTTCCTTTCCTTACTTTTGTGTGGAATTGCTGTCATGTGTTGGGACGTCATGATCAAATACAACAGAATTGTAAACCTACAAGACGATCTTATACAATATAATCAGGTATTAGAAGAATTAATATATGTTTATCATATGTAAGAAATTAACCTATCATTAATTTTATCACTGCCGATTGTTCTCTTCTGATGAGGTAAATCAATATATGAAAAACTCTCGTAACAAAAAAAAACACAACATTTTTTAAGGACAATTTTTAAAACACATCGTGAAAAAGAAACTTGATTTAATTTCATTAACATATAATTTTTTTTTTTCCAGGATGGATGCAAAGTATTAAATATGATAGAGCACTACTTTCGATCTACTACTTATTATTGGATGTTGTGCGAGGGATTTTATTTACACCGACTGTTGTTGAACGCCTTTGTTCCTCCAAAGCGCTTAATAGGATACTACATCACAGGATGGGGTAAGTTATTATTGGAATTTGTGCGAGGGATTTTATTTACACCGACTGTTGTTGAACGCCCTTGTTCCTCCAAAGCGCTTGATAGGATACTACATCACAGGATGGGGTGAGTTATTATTAGATGTTGTACGAGGGATTTTATTTACACCGGATGTGTTGAACGCTTTTGTTCCCACAGAGCACTTAAGATGATACTACATCACAGGATGGGGTAAGTTGTTATTGGATGTTGTGCGAGGGATTTTATTTACACCGACTGTTGTTGAACGCCCTTGTTCCTCCAAAGCGCTTAATAGGATACTACATCACAGGATGGGGTAAGTTATTATTGGATGTTGTGCGAGGGATTTTATTTACACCGACTGTTGTTGAACGCCTTTGTTCCTCCAAAGCGCTTAATAGGATACTACATCACAGGATGGGGTAAGTTATTATTGGATGTTGTGCGAGGGATTTTATTTACACCGACTGTTGTTGATCGCTTTTGTTCCCCTAGAGCACTTAATAGGATACTACATCACAGGATGGGGTAAGTTATTATTGGATGTTGTGCGAGGGATCTTATTTACACCGACTGTTGTTGGACGCCTTTGTTCCTCTAAAGCGCTTAATAGGATACTACATCACAGGATGGGGTAAGTTATTATTGGATGTTGTGCGAGGGATCTTATTTACACCGACTGTTGTTGAACGCTTTTGTTCCCCTAGAGCACTTAATAGCATACTACATCACAGGATGGGGTAAGTTATTATTGGATGTTGTGCGAGGGATCTTATTTACACCGACTGGTGTTGAACGCTTTTGTTCCCCTAGAGCACTTAATAGGATACTACATCACAGGATGGGGTAAGTTATTATTGGATGTTGTGCGAGGGATCTTATTTACACCGACTGTTGTTGGACGCCTTTGTTCCTCTAAAGCGCTTAATAGGATACTACATTACAGGTTGGGGTAAGTTATTATTGGATGTTGTGCGAGGGATTTTATTTACACCGACTGTTGTTGAACGCCTTTGTTCCTCCAGATCGCTTAAATAGGATACTACATCACAGGATGGGGTATTTTTGCACTAAATTTTAGTGTGTGATTAATTTGCAATACATTTCGGGATGGAGTAAATTTGCACTGCATTTCAGGATGGGATAGATTTTTACTACATTTCAGGATGGGGTAAATTTGTACTACATTTCAGGATGATGTAAATTTGTACTACATTTCAGGATGATGTAAATTTGTAGGACATCAATTGATATAATATGACAAGATACATACATATAAGTATAAATATGTGATACGAAATACACCATATTTTGCAATTTTACTTCCAAGACTACAAAGACTGTGTATCTGCTATAGTGTAAATGTAGTAAACAGTATGTTGGTGAATCAGAGCAGCCATTTTACAAACGTATGAACGACCATTTTAGTGAATATGAATGTAAGCCGGACCTTCCTCTCAGTCGACATTTGAGATCCCCTTACCTCATTAAGACAAATCTCAATGGACTGACTTGGTCTAGGGAGGAGGAAATCACTCAGGAAAGATTTTGGATAAATTAATTAAAAACATTGGCACCAAATGGGATCTATGAAAAGGTGTATTTCAAATCGTGCATGCTAAACACAGCATTTGGTTGGATAATCATGTTTGTTTCATTTTGAATGCACAAATACACAGCCTCGTTTATAATTGTAAATACTGAATTGCGAGAACTTTTAAAATTTTAGAATAATTCAAGCTTTATTTGTTTAATTTATTACGTTCGAGATTTTTTTGGGAAGATCATCATAGATGATCATTAATAAAAAAATACTCCATTTACATCAAGCTGATGAAAGATATCTGATCATATCTGTTATCCAAATTATATAATGATATTTGTATTTCTGTACTATTCCTATTAATTTCGGTGTTGTTGTACTCATGATGGACATCTGTTATCCGAAATATTTATTGATATATTTTCTTTTACTAATTGGTTGCCTTATGAAGTGGCCAATGTTTTATGGGCTATATGGATAAAGGATCCATACTAGATCGTAGTCCAACGGTCAGTATAAAAAGTAAAATGTGGTGGATTGAGGAAAGGATTCGTCGAACATGGTGGCAAATGGAAATATGTCTATATAACACGAGTCAAATGAATTCAGTTGAAAACTAACTATATCTGCCTTTGTTTCCTTTTTATAGGAATGCCATTTCTTACAGCCTTAATATATACAGTGCTGCGAATAAGCTTGTTTGATAACAGGTAAAGGAATAAAGTTATGAAACACATAATAGGAATATATGGTTAATGTGCAGTGGCGGATCCAGAATTTTTCATAAGTGGGGGCCCACTGACTTCCTAAGAGGGGGCCCGCTCCAGTCATGCTTCAGTGATTCCCTATATAATCAACCAAATTTTTCCCAAAAAAGGGGGCCCGGGCCCCCTGAAAAACCCTCTAAATCCGCCTCTGATGTGTATGGAAGGCGATGTGAGGTAATATACGTTAACGGGACGTCGACCAAACGACACAAAAAAGCCTGTAGAAGTCAACATACGGTCTTTATTGAAAAAGGTGATTTTCGTTTCAAAGCCACATATGGCCCTTTAAAATGAAACAAAGCTCTCACTTCACACGGCAAGTTCATTATGGCAGTTCGCACTGGTTTGAGTTTCATTGAAGAACACAGCTGCACGGTAATATCAACAAACAACCGATCATATCTGGCAAAGAAATCTAACAAAAAGTGTCATACATAACCTGGCACCTCACTGTAAAGTACGGAAACAATATAAACACTTGAACAATCACGGTCACATGAGTATATGTTAAAAAAAACAACTTTACATGACGGTAAAATATGTATGAATAGGGCAAAGAGTTAGGTTGAATAACATAACAATATCTTTATGTACCAGATGTTCAGAATTTAACAGTTCAAAAACTTTTTTGAAACGTTTATTACTTGATTGATATTTGGATTTTTTAAAGCAATACATGTTTGTATGTAACAGAGATCTATCGAATTATATCCCAAGAATCATATTATGTACGGTTATGCAGCTTGAATACTATACAAATAAGCAGAAATTGAAGTAACATTCTAGCTCTCAGTCTGCTCTCATAGACTTGCCCTGTATATTTGTCCTTCATTTCGTGAACTATTAAATTTTTTAAATAGTTATAAGAAGATGTGGTATGAGTGCCAATGAAACAACTCTCCATCCAAGTCATAATTTGTAAAAGTTAACCATCATAGGTCAAAGTACGGCCTTCAACACGGAGCCTTGGCTCACACCGAACTGCAAGCTATAAAGGGCCCCAAAAATGACTAGTGTAAAACCATTCAAACAGGAAAACCAACGGTCTAATCTATATAAAAAACGAGAAACGAGAAACACTTATGAACCACATCAACAAACAACAACCACTGAACATCAGGTTCCTGACCCCATTTAATTTGCTGGTCTTAACCCCATTGCACATATCATGGTATTTTTGCGTGTATGTATTATTAACAATTAGAGATATTTAGTGGTGACTATATGGTGTAATCGTTAGTATGATGTTATTGTTTTAGTGATTGTTGGATAGACCCAATATCTGGCAAGTACCATGGTCTAGAATGGATACTGTTTGCACCAACTATACTGTGCATCATTGTATGTAGTTTTATTTCATTCAGGTGTTATTAGAATTATACATCCATATTCATTTGGACAACGTGCGTTATAATTTAAAAAAACAATAAATCCGACAATAACTTTGTTTACGCATGTTTGTTTGTTTTCTCATTTAAATATCAGGTGAAGGCATACGTTAATTGAAATATGGGATATTCATACACCAGACAGCAACCCAAACGAAAAAAAACATGTATGTGGTCTTCAATAGTATGCAAGTGTTCCTACAACGATTTTAGCTCTAAATTGCTCTTAGTCGGTATGATAAACAGTGGCTATGTTAAGGATTTGTGGGGTATAATATATAAACTATCCAATTATCCTGAGGATCTTGCTTTAGGATTTTGTATTTGTCTATATATAATTTAGTTTCTGAAAACAAAACGAGAAGCGCAAACTTTTAAACGTCCTAAATCGCTGCCTTAGTTCGACTACCTCAATTCTGTGAGAACTATTTAGTATTGTTAAAAAGGAACGACTTTAATAAAAAGTAAGTGGTGATTACATTTGTATCTTTATTACAATAAATGCATGGAAAGTACGTATAATTTGAACGGAAGCATGAAAAACAATTTTGTACATATAACATAAATTGATGGTGAATTTGTCTCATTTTTACGACTTGTCTTTGACAGCATCATTTAGAGCTTAATATGATTTAAATCCTCATTGTTGTTGAAAATTTTGTTGAATTATATATTGTGATCTTTTATTTTCAATTTTTTTTTGACTTGCTGATTATATGCCATTATGTCACATCCGTTTTATTCATATTATTGTTTATGTTTTAAATGCAGTCGTTGAAGATGATGTCGTTTTTCTCTCTCCCAAAATTTGATTGATCATGCATCAAAAGATTGCCACCAAAATCAATTTCGACAAAATGGGATACGCACCAAATGAAAGTATCAATATAAGGAGTTGTGGTGTGATAACCAATGAGATAACGATTCAGAAATACCATAGAACAAGGAAGTACACAATAGTAAGTCACCCGACGGCCTTCAACAACGAACAAAACCCATTGGGCCGTACTGTAAAGAAAGGAATAAAAGACCACTGTTTAACAATATGTGAAACAATTCAAAAGAGAAAACCAACTGTCCGATTTATACTACATGTAAAACAATGAACGAAAAAATATGAAAAATTACAACCTAGGTTAAGTTAGTTCCAATCTAGAACCAAGAAAAGTAAATACAACAGAGCAATTTCATTTGGCTGGAATCTAGTATGAAATGTGTAACGCAATACATATATTTATTCATTGTCACAAACTATATGTATTTCAAAGTTATACGTCATTATAACATTAGTAAAACTAGTTTTCTAAGTTATTAATCCTGCTGTGAAACAGATGGATGTGGTCATAATAGGCATGTATAATTTGAAATCAATCTTAACACTTGTTTTTTTTAAGACGATTGCTTTATTTTGAAGATTTAATTAAGAAGTCAAATTATTAAAACATTTATATGTTACAGTTACTCGTTGCAGATCAATGTGTTTTTCCTTTTGAACATTCTTCGAGTATTGGTTCGACAGCTTTCTCATCCCAATGAACCTAAAAGTTACAGGTAAATTTGAAATCAGTACAATTTATGCATGTAAAAATTGACACTAACTGATCTTTTTTAATTCTCAGAAGAATTACCTTGAGCTGAGCTATTATTCGACTTGTCGTTATAAAACTGGGGAGAATAAGTAAAAACTGAAAATAAAGAATGTACACTCCTCCTCCTCCATAGCTCTGGTTCCTTGTCTGTGTTTGGCTATACTTTTGGTCCTTTTCGGGGATATACACTCATCAACGTTTGTATACGGCTTCAGATTATTAAATATTTTGGCCTCGAGTAACAATATGAGATATGAATTGTCTAAATGCTCATATGTTTATTAAAATTGTACCGTTTGATGTTATTCTGCCAAATCAAGGTCAAAGTGTAAGACAGGCATTAGTTGTTCAATATATCAGCAATTTTGTATGCTGTGTCTTTTGAAAAGGGCGTCTAGCGTACAAAAATGTAATCCTAGTATCTACGATGAATTTATTGAATAATAAAATTCAAAATAAAACTTGAAAACCATATTGAGAAGAGTTTAATAGTCACTGAAACGAAATTCTAAATATTAAATATGCCTTTTGCAGAATATCCGGCAAAAATGGAAAAACTGAAAGCAATAAAATATTCTGTAATACAATTGTAAATCAACTCAAATCACATAAATGGAATTCCTTTCTAAATTATAATTTCGCTTATTGTGATGAGCACAGTCAATTATAACAGCTAGTAATATATTTACTCAAAGTACATTCATTTGCAAGAAGAGAGGTTTTTATCAGTTCTATTTCCATGACAAAACATATGTAGTCAATATTCGGTTAAAAACGCCCCCAAAAGTACATGTTTCAAAGTGACAAATAATCTAAAGGAAGTAATACACCCGAGATTTAAGTAGTCATCGTGCCTAATGAGGCAAAATATCGCTATATCGCTATATCAATATGAAAATGTGGTTATATCCATTAATTTTTTCGACTATTCATTGTTAACCTTTAACCTGGATTTAATTGAAATTGCACTGTATAACATTTTGACTTTTTGACTATCGGATAAAGCTGAAAGTACAGATACTTAGCTTTCGAATGGTAACTTAAGTCTTTATGAAAAATGTCACTCGAATATTACAATGTAATACAACCTCAGATATTCTTAGGTATACAAATAATTGTTTCAGAAAAGCTGTGAAGGCGACACTTATACTGATACCGCTCTTGGGAGTTCACCAGTTCTTCACTATTTACAGACCTCGTCCTGGTGACGATGGATACTACACCATGACAATGACAGCAGCAGTTATTTATAATTCACAGGTTGGTCTGTCGTAAAAGAGAGGCGAAAGATACCAAAGGGACTTTCAAACTCATAAGTCGAAAATAAACTGACAACGCCATGGCAAGAAAAGAAAAGACCAACAGTTAAACAACAGTACATAAAACACAACATAGACAAACTGAAGACTGAGCAACACGAACCCACCATAAACTTGGGGTGATCTCAGGTGCTCCGGAAGGTAAGCAGATCCTGCTCCACATGAAAATAAACTTGGGATTTTGAAGGAAATTTCCTATTATAATTTCATTAGTTGAGCATAGTTCAGGATTTTTTTCCAAGTAGCGACCATATAAACTTAATTTCAAAGTGGCAGAAGGTAAGCTATCACAATATTAAATGCATATCTTGTATATATATATATTAAGGGGAAAGCTGCTGCCTTGTATTATCAAGCGGCTTTTAAGAGATATTCTTTTCTTGCTTTGATAAGAATCGTTTTAAATTAAAATGTATCTCCCGCAAGTATAGCTCTGATTTCTTGTCCTGGTTGGATTTACTTTCGGTTACTTTTGGTTTTATCAGCTCTTCAACCTTTGTTTTAGGTTTTGGCCTTTAAATATTTTGGCCTTAAGCAGATACATTAACTGTCGAAATTCGCATCTGGTGCAGTAAAATTGGTATTGTTAATGTTATGGAAAACCATAAACGCTTTTTTATTAATATTTTCGTTTTAGGTAGCTGTCATTCATACATTGTTATTCCATATTGATATTTTTCTAGTTGGTTTTTTCTATATTAACTTGATTTTTAAAAGAAGAGCGCATTTACCGGAAGAAAAAAATCTTGGGAGTATCTGGATACTATATAATAGTGTTGTAATGCTATCGGTGCATTGTCGATTGACAATCGGTTTGTTTACAATGGCAGCAGGTCCGTGTTTTCCTGGTCCAATATTAAATCAATACAGATTTCGGATTAACGAAATAAGCGCACTTCCGGTATATGCAATCATTGCAAGATGTCATTTGCATGCTTTTGCAATAGTGTTGTCTGCGTTTCTTCTGTATTTTTATTTATCCCAATCCCTATGGTATCTTCTTGTCGTTTTAAGATCACCTCTCATTTGCGATAGCGCTAAAAAAATAATTAAAAGATCTAATTATGCGTTCGTTTCAATCTTAGTACATAATTTTCCTAATAAGTAAGTCTGGAAAAATAAGTTTTTTTCGCAATTAAAAAAAAAACAACAGGCTTAACTTAATTTAACATCAAATGCTGAAGATATATTGAAAATCCAATTTTATTGTTACAGTTGGAGATCATTGACTATACCAAGAGAATACTATTAATTTGGTTGAAGTTAACGAGAACAAAATAGATGACTGAACGAATGAATGATTGCTTGCTTTACGTCCAGTAGCAAAGAGTTCATGCATATTTAGGACGAGAACAATTTTAACTTTTAAAATACTGTAGGTAGGCACTGCAATGTAGGTCAACCGCGATTTAGGGCGGGACATACTCCCAATGGAAAATTAGGGTATGCTGAGTATTTAGTGGTATAATATTTGCCCCACTTAAGGAAGGGTTTTATTGCCGATGGGAAACTCCAGGGATGGCTATATTTCTATATCCCAGTCAACCCTTGAGATGATTGCTGAAAAAATGATGTGGGTTATGTTATTGCACAATATTCAAGGAAATTATATCAATTTTACAGATCTACAAAATGAAATTTAATCAGTCGCATGAAAGTGAACACCAGGAATGATATTCTAGAGGATAATACTCAAACAAGTCAAATGAACTAAAAAACTAACAGATAATACATCAATTATTTAAAATCGAGAATAGTGATTAAATGAGACTATGGGGCTATTATATCAATAAGACAGCAACCTAACAAAAAAATACACCTAGACGTCAACAACAGTCAAAGGTATATCGCATGGCAAGCTCTGAACCGCCCAGAGTCTAGACAAAGTTTTCATGTGTCAAATGGAAGATACCAAAGATCTGAAATTAACAGCTATTTTTTTAGACGAAACACAAAAGGTTTCGATAATACTAGGGATAATTACGAACAAATTACCTTAAATGGTAAAATTATTTTTTCAGTGTTCACTATTCCCTCGTTTTATCAATAAGTGTAAGATTATAAATGACAAAACAATAAACAAAAATCAAATATGACAGACAACAATATAACCACCGAATTACAGGTTCCTGACTTGGGACAGGAACATATAAATGTGACGGGATTAAACATGTTTGTGAGCGCTTAACCCTCTCCTAACCTGGTACAGTGGTGTAACACCACAAAATAGGAACCAACTGTTAAAATCAGTTAAAAATGACTAGTCTCATTAGATTGACACGAGGCAAAAAATAAAGCAACTAACAGAAGGACAAATGACCTAAAGTGAGGATCTAAAGGTACTTGTAGTAACTGAAGATTAGTTCAAAAACTTATAAATAAGTCATGTTCTCCCAGACTCACTCTATTATATCGACAGCACAGATGACAATGACAAACATTATATAGTAACTTGGACCTTATCAAAGAATGCTACCTTTCCATCTCTAATACCGACCGCAGTTCTTAGGTGTAGATTTCATTCTGCAACCAAGGGGAATTATTTTCATATTGAGGAGTTTCATTATTTGTTTCTCATGTACACAAACGTATCGACAACCTCATATCGACACTACACTGTTTTATTAAATCAATAGAACACCACTGCTGTTTAGGTATTCCCACAAACTGATATATTTGCGATATTGAATCTTATATTTTTTTTATTGTATTACAGGCAATTTTAATATCCTTCATTTTCTTCTATTTCAACTCGGAGGTAAGTAACATGAAAAAGTAAAATTTAATGCCGAGTCAAAATACATGTTAGCTGACTATGCGGTATGGATTTTACTCATTGTTGAAGGCCGTACGGTGACCTATGGTTGTTTATTTCTGTGTCATTTGGTCTCTTGTGGAGAGTTGTCTCATTGGCAATCATACCACATCTTCTTATTTTTATATCCCAATTTTATATGATCTACATGCATGATGTAAATGGACAAGAAGCTCGAGGACCCGATTAGGCTGTAGCACTAACTAGCATTCTATTCATGATATCCTTACATCATAGGACTTTTAATTAAACTATGTCCTCAACAGGCAGGGCACAAAAGTTAGGTATGCATTTTTAGATAAGGAATTACATCAACATTTGGTTACTTTTTTATTTATGTACTTTGTCATTTGAGGATTTGAATACTTAGTCAAATCTTTGATGATCCCTGTCAGATTCACTAGCAGCTTTTTTGGACTCCAGGAGTTTTACAGCTTAACAATTTGTATGGACAGTTGTCCATGTTAAAGACAGCTTGTAAACTTCTTTTTGTTTAGTCGTTTAGTAGGAACTATTGTTTTATTGGCCATCTCCTGTCCCAATATGCTATCGAAAAAGGTTCTATGTAACAGGCATGAGCCCCGTGAACCATGCTAAACTCATGTTTATACGATAAAAAGTAGAGAAGAGTAAAAGTCAATGACACAAAAACCGACGACATAATGAACCAAAATACATCAAAAGGTTATCATACAGTCATTAACAATAGACGGATTTCTATACCATTTGTCAAGCTCTTATTCGCCCAGAGTCTTAAAGGATGCGAGTAAATAAAAGAAAAACGAACAAGACCTGCAATTATTACTATATGATTGATTTTTAGTCAAATTTCTTATTTTTTGAAATGTTGAAAGCCGTGTTTGATGGGGCATTAACAACATTTCTTAAAGGAGATTATACATATTAAAAGTTCTATAATATTGGTACAGAATTTGATTTCACGTTTTAGTCAATGTTTCTAACAATGAAAGGAGCCATATTTAATTTCGACGTCTATCCGATATTTGACATGATATCACAAAAGATTTACAACCAAGGATTTTTCTGATTTTGTATTGAATTTTCTTGTTAAGCTTTGAAATTCTATTTTCAGAATAGCTCCATGATTACTTTTGACTGTACTAGTCAACCATAATTCGCAAAAGGCACCGTAAATCTATTAAAATCTAAAATTTGATAGTAGAAATTATTTCCTTCCAGGTTTTTTTTTAGACTTGTTAAATTTAATTGCTTGATAAATTGTGTCTGTTTTCTTTCAGTAAAAGTGGAATATTTGATTTTTGTATACTATTGCTGGGTCAATATTAATGTTTGGGACTGTAACTACCTTAATATATAAGCTCTCATTATATATAATAAATGTTCGAAACATATGTAGGCGATCGTCGTTTAAAGTGATAAAATTAAATTAAAGGCTGTAAATTCAGTAAGCAAAAACAAACTAATGTTAAATGCTTGATACAATGAAGTATACTTTTTTTGAGATGGCTGAAATTCAATTTGCTCATACTTAACGGAAATCAGACACTCTTTAAATCAAGGCTTCTTCAAAGGGAAAAACTCTAGAACCAAAGTAGTATTTACACTGAAGTTAGATTTAGCATAATTTAAGTTCAGGTAAACTGATGCAATAATACATAAATTATTGTTTGGTGCGAAAAAATAAATATTTGCGACAAAATTATTCTCATTCATTTTTTGGTAAACATAAGATGAAGATAAAAGGAGTAATTCTCAACCTCTGGAAAGGTTCCTTTTATCTTTTTAAAGGAAACATTGTTTAACAATTAACAACAAAACTATTTAGCACTTTCATATCAGATACAAAAAGAGAGAGTATGAACTTAGAAAAAATACGAAAAACAACACCATGTCATCAGGAAATAACGACAAAAAGACAACTACACCGGAAAGGTCAGAAATTCCTACTTAACTAATTACACATGACGTTTCACTCTTTCAGTACGTTGATTGGTAATAACAAGGCAAGCCCTGAAACAGTGGAGATGTCGCAATGCTATACTAATTCAGCGTCGCGAGGCAGAGACGACGCTACCACTGTGCAATATAACCAGTGATAAATCATCATTTTAGGTCAAGTTACAGTAAATGGGCTATGTCACAGATTTTGGTAAAATTTGCATACAACTTTGGCTCGTCGAACTATAACTGAAAATCAAAAAAATAGTGCATTTATCTCTTTTATTTTCTGAAATATTACCGATTTAATAATGAAACACAAATAAAATAAAAAAATGGCCAAAAGTTCAATCCCTTGTAGGGATATCTTTTCTAAAACTGTTTACATATATCTATCAATAGAACAAAATAGGTGAATAGAAAGCCTTTAAAATCGGCGAAAGTCGTTCTTTAATTTGTTTTAAAACCACCAAATCTCCAATTTCTAGTACATAGATTTTTATCAAAAAATCACATGTTGTTGATACATAAATTTCCGTTTTATTGATGTAAAATAATAAAAGGTTTCCCGACTTCGTTTTTACGCTATACACATTCAAAGTGGTGTTCTAGGGTAGCAATATACAGTTAGGAAAATAGTTTAGAACTTACCCTCATAAATTTTACCATCCCCTTTTCCTTGCTTTCTTAAAAATTAAGCCTACTCTTTGTGCCATATATGTGCATATGTATGTCACATATTTCCTCAAAATTTGGCAAAAAGTAGAATTTCAATCCCTTGGAGTGATACCTTTTCTGAAACTGTTTACTTATACAATGTATCTATCAAGAGATTAAATAAAAATCATTTGTCTTTCGTCTCATTTTTTTGTAAAATTGCGTCAAAAAGTGCGTGTGAAAAAAAAGATTTTGTAAACATCACAATAATTTCTGGACCTATGGCCTGTCTGGCTATAAAAATACAGACAGTTAAACAGAAAATAGCCCACAAAACATTTAAAAAATAATCTTGATGTTCTTATAAACCAAATTTGAAGGCTAAATTAGTCATCAGCTTTCTAAACATGAATTTTATTGCACAATAACTTTCATATTTGAAAAATCCACCGTGGCCAAAATGCGAAACTATACTCCTAACTGTGTATTGCTACCTTAATAGTCAATATTTTCATTTTCAAATTCTCCCTTTTAACTAATTTTCTGTGTTCTGCTAGCTAAAACGAGTAAAACGGCCTTTTATTTTTGAAAATTTGATGAGTAATTAATATTTTTTTAAGGTTAACAGTTGACGCTGAAACGCGACAAAAACTTATTTAAAGAAAAGAGCCAAGTCAAACTGTAAAATCTCATTTCTACCTCAATTTTTTGTTAAATTTCAAAAACTATACCTCTTGTTCTGTTTTTTAATGTTGAAAATCTTATCAAGATCTCTGAAGATGCAAAATTGTATTAAATTAAAAAATTCAAAGCATAAAAATGTTTAAAAATCATGTGTATTGCATATAAAAGCCTGGATTAAGAAACTTGGTAATAGAGAATCAATTTCTAACAGCAGAAACAACTATACATTTAATTTATGCCAAAATGTAACATGAAACCTTGTTAAAAATAATAATTTGATATATTCGTAAGAAAAAATACAAAGCGTTCAATACCTAGGCTACTACATACAGCGCAATCCTTCATTAGCAACAGTTAAGCCAAATGAGTACAAATATAAGCTTTGTGTCAAAATGTCTAGATTTGGTTGGTAAGGACTGTGAACAATAAAATTGACATGTATTGTCATTCTAAAACACTTTGAACCCTGAGAAATTGATTTCAAATCTAAATATCAGTAGATTTGTGGTAAGAAAAGTCTTAAATTATGCAATTCTCAGCATTGCAAGTATGTCATAAGGTAGCAATATACAATGAACCTATCATTATTTCATATCATTAAAACGGAAATTTATGTATCAACAACATGTAATTTTTTAAGAAAAATCTATGTACTAGAAACTGGAGATTTGATGATTGTAAGACAATATAAAGAACGATTTCGCCGATTTTAAAGGCTTTCTATACAAATGTTCACCTATTTTGAGAGAATTCAATCGGTAATATTTCAGCAAATAAAAGAGGTAAATGCATTATTTTTTCGATTTTCAGTTATAGATCAACGAGCCAAAGTTGTATGCATAATTTTATCAAAATCTGTGACACAGCCTATTTACTGTTCCTTGGCCTTAATAGGGGGTCGATGAATGTCTCTTTTGTAGTACTATGACATCACCAAATTCATAAATCATTTGTATCTTTAAATTATCCAAGCCTAAAACTTTACCAAAGATGAAAGTGTCAAGTGAAAACAAGGGTTTCTCTGTGAAAGGATAAACAAGACCGGAAGACACAACACAGACAATGAAAATATAATTCAGTGGGGGGAAAAAACAAATTTATTGCGGTTTAATACATCACCATATTGAATAAATGAAAATGCCGAGAAGATATCAAGACGCAATAAAAAAAAGTTTTAGAAAGATGGACAGCACCATTGCAACTAAAGACGAATAACAATAGTCCACAAAACATTACACAAAAAGTGATGATTCAGTTATTTTAACCCCTACCATACCCCGGTTCTCTTCAAGGGTTTGCAGCTTCTCGTCTACTAGTAGCACCCGTCGTGCTGCTCATGAACAATAAAAATAAACCAGATGAGTGAAACAATTGACCATAATATTGTTTTAAAATTTTTGTCTATTAGAAAGTTATTAAAGATAAATAGTCTTGTTAAAACAGCTTTCTTCATGAGAAATAAAAAAACAAAATATTTGAACTTTTCTTCACATTAGGTTTTATCGAATCTTAGGACCAGTTTGTATCGACGACGACAGTCAGCTGCACTTGAAAGAAAAAGTCTTACGTCTACACTTAACTCTAGACGATCATCGGCAGTCTCTTCAGGACCGAACAGGATCCAGAGCCACGAAGGAATTTCATCTGATTTGATATGTAATTCATTATACAATAATGGAAACAATATTTTTCAACCTATGCGAGTATCAAATGGTGTTTTTAATAATGGATTCATTGACATTGAAACAACTCATTTGTAGCAACATTTCTTAAAATGACAATAAACTTGTTTCCTTTAGTACATGTATTGAGCCTTTTATGAATCACACACTTTTGTATTTTATTGATTCTAATATTCATTTGACTTTGGTCAATCATATTCTTTTGACATGATCTGCTACTATTTTTGTTAGAAAAAAACGATTTCAATGGTTTATAATTATATCAAAACTGAACTCGTGGCTGGTGAAATTTTAACCAACGAATTGCCTTATGGTCCTTATTTCTATTTTATCCTTTTTGTCATAAACTCTAACTCTTCATGTCAATGGAGTCTATTATAATATAATTTTTAAAGCTTTTAAGACTCTATAAAGTTCAAGATTACATTGATAATTGATTTATGAGGTTTGAAAATCGTTTAACTACTGTTTCCTCAATTTATCTACTTCCTTATAAAATACGTGCCTCAGACTGTCAAATATTAAGCACAAAAAGCCAACTGAAAAGCATTTTTTGTTATCTTCCAGAGAAACTTCTTGTCATGACATTCGAGTAAAATGCCATTTTAGTATGAAATACAGAATTCAAGAAGAATGTGAAATAGTTGTAATTAAAATTGTTAAAATGATTCTTACATGCTCAAGTCTTTAAGATAAGGTAGTATAAACACATTAATACATAAAAATTAAAGAAGAGGTATTTGCCATTATTAATTAAATATCTTCAACAGAGAAAATAAGGAAGGCAATTTTTTGCTTTAAATAAATGGTAATCTTCATTTGATTCGCGTGGCTAATAGTCTGGATAAGGGAAGTTAACATCCAATATTGTTTGACTTTTCCATGGAATGAAGACATTTGTGACGTTCGGTTGTAATTGAGAACTTAGGGAAGGATAATGCCTGATAAGGATTTCTGTCATGTAGGTCTTTTCTATGTAATCAAGACCCCATTCAGTGTAAAACTCAGCAGTGTAATCATCCGTGAAAAATCGATCAGCTTCTAGTCTTCTTCGGGCCATCACCAAAAATATTCTAAAGAAAGTGTCGCTAAATCCGAAACCCTCTGGAAGTGGTGTTTCAGCCAAAGATCCAACGAGAAGGTCAATTTGTTCAACATCATCGTCATACATCATTCGGAGTTCTTCTACATGGGTAGCGTTCGTGGAAAGATCTTCAAATGACGTTATAGGCGTCAGGTGCAACATCCTTCTGAACTCATTGTATCTATTAAAACCAAATGCATATTATATCGTTTAAACAAATATAAATTTGAAAATAATGCTATTTTCATGGTGAGACATTCATACAGATATATGTAAGACTCTGAACCGCGATGGTCACGCCGATGTGCAATGTTTTGACGCTGAAGTGCGTTTTTGATAACGCTGAAGTGCGATGGTAGCATTGTAACGCTATCTTGTTGATAGCTATGCCGAAATGCGATGGTGGTAACGCTACTGTGCGATGGGCTACATAAACTATATTTTCAATGCTTTTCATATCGATGTAGAAGTCAATTTGTTTGTTAAAAGCATTGTTTCTGGTTTTTAGCACATCTGGCCGAAAGTCCAAGTGAGCTTTTCTCATCACTTGGCGTGTCCGTCCTCCGTCGTCGTTAACTTTTACAAAATCCTTCTCCTCTGAAACTACTAGGCAACATTTAACCAAACTTGGCCACAATGATCATTCGGGTATCTAAATTGAAAAATGTGTCCGATGACCCCGCCTACCAACCAAGATGGCCGACATGGCTAAAAATAGAACATAGGGGTAAAATGCAAATTTTGGGGGTTATTTTGAAAACCGTTAGGAAAAGAGAACATTTAACGAGGGCAAAAATATTCAGAATGTTAAGCTCTACCTATTGTTCGTTTATATCAAAACTGTCAGACGACTTCTTGTAGGAGTTATTGTCCTGAGATGATGAATTTTACCATTTTTAAAAAATTTTGCCTATAATTATAAAAGATAGGTAGAAACTTTGAAAAGCAAAAATGATCAGCAAGACAAGAGCTACAAATAAGTCAAACATGGCCGAAATCTTCAGTCGACTCCTTATTAGGGTGATTGCCTTATAAAGACGATTTTTACATCTTTTTTGCGTTTTATAAATATATTCAAAATTATATTAGATAGATAGGAACTTCTAAAAGCAAAAAGAAAATCAGCAACACAAGATCTACAAAAAAGTCAACATGACCAAAATTTTTAGTCGAATCCTTATTGAAGTTATTGCCCTTTAATGACAATTTTCCCCATTTTTGCCTTTTATCTTGAATACTGTAATAAATAGACAGAAACTAGATAAATAGCACAAATGATCAGCAAGACAAGATCCACAAATAAGCCATAATGGTTGAAATCTTCAGTCGACTAATTATTGGAGTTATTGCCCTTTAATGATTATTTTTTTACGTTTTTTGCCTATTATCTTGAAAACTATAAATATAGATAAATAGAAACTTTAAACAGGAAAAAATATCAGCAGGATAAGATCTACAAATATGCCAACATGACTGAAATTGTCAGTTAACTCTTAACAGAGGTATTCCCCTTTCATGATGATATTTACTAAAAAGTGGCCATTGTTGAAGATGCAGGTGAGCGACACAGGCTCTTGAAAGCCTCTAGTTAAGTTAAAAAGGGGCTTATAAACTTTTAATACTACGGGAAACGCGGAGTGATTTGTCGAGAGGGAAAAGTCTACCTTTTGTAGCGAATTTGTTTTCGAAATCTACAAAAGGTTCTTTTTTACGTACGATGGAGCGTGGCATTCTTGAAATACATACGGGTCCACAGGCAGACTCTCCCTATTATAATATTAAGGTAAACGAGGAACTCATGAGAGGAACCAAGTCAACATAAAATGTTAAGTAAACGCAGAATTATGTTCACATGCATAAAATCAAAGAGGACGATCTCTCATTTAGTATGAACCTATAACTAAGAACATACATACTGTTCTATGGTCGGGTTGTTGTCTCTTTGACACATTCCCCATTTCCATTCTCAATTTTATAGACAATAACGAATGCAAGTTTATACACTAACCATTAAAATGAATCTACTCATAATATAATTGAACATTTGTAGATTTTAAACTAACCATCACGCGTAATATGTACTGTATTCCTGTCACGTAGTGTTGTCATTTTAGCTGTATTTTTAACATTTCCAGACAAGCAGGAGGTTTGGCTAGCCATAAAACCATGTTCAACCAACCATTTTTTTCTTAAAATGTCCTGTACCAAGTCAGGAATATTGCAGTTGATATCACACAGTCCGTTTCTATGTATGTTGGCGTTTGCTTTTGTTGTTCAGTGTTTTTATGGTTCCGTTGTTTTCCTCTTATAGATGATGTTTTCCCTCGGTTTTAGTTTGTTACCCGGATTTTTTTTTTGCTTAATCATATTATGACCATTGAACAGCGGTATACTACTGTTGCCTTTATTTATAGACCATCGCACATCAGCGAACGAACCATCTTACTTCAAGGTGAACATCGCACCATCGAGTCCTAAAACGTCTAGATAATAGACAACGAATTTCTTACGAGAGAAAACAAATTATACAAGCGTGACTTGGTTTTTAATCTGTATTAATTTCAAGATTGTTTTAATACTATCAGAATAAATTGATATGATTCGTTTTACGTCATACTGATGAAGGATATCTGTTATCCGAAATATTTATTGATACTTGTATTTACTGTTTCCTTTTTAGCTCAGAGGGCCAAGTGAGTTTTTCTCATCACCTAGCGTCCGTCGTCCGTCGTTTTTCACAAAAATCTTCTCCCCCTGAAACTAGAGGTTCAAATTTAACCAAACTTGGCCACAATCAACATTGGGGTATCTAGTTTAACAAATGTGTCCGATGACCCCGCCTGTTAACCAAGATGGACGACATGGCTAAAAATAGAACAAAGGGGTAAAATGCAAGTTTTGCCTATTATTTTGAAAACTGCTGTAAATAGAATATTTGACTGGGACAAAAATGTTCAAAATGTTAAGCTCTACCTATTGTCTATTTACGTACAAACTATCAAACGACTTCTTATAGGAGTTATTGCCCTTAAATGACAATTTTTTTTATTTTTTTTTATTTTGCTATTATCTGGTAAATTCTAATAGACAGACAGAAACTTTAAATGGTAAAAATGATCAGCAAGACAAGATCGACAAATATGGCAACATAATCAAAATCGTCAGACGACTCCTTAATAGAGTTTTTGCTCTTTAATGACGATTTTTATAAAAAAAAAATCGTTATTGCCTAATATCTTAAAAACTATATAAGATAGACTTATAACAATTGCTCATTGTTGAAGGCCACATGGTGACCTTTAGTTGTTAATTTCTGTGTCATTTGGTCTCTCGTGGAGAGTTGTCTCATTGGCAATCATACCACATCTTCTTTTTTATAATTAATCTTTAAAACGCAAAAATTAGCAACAAGACAAGATCTACAAATAAGTCAACATGACCCAAATGGTAAGTCAACTCTTATTGAAGTTATTGCCCTAATATAATGACGAGTTTTCTCATTTTTGCCTATTATCTTGAAAACTGTAATAGATAAATAAAACTTTAAATAGCACAAATGGTCAGCAAGACAAGATCTACAAATACACCATAATGGCCGAAATCTTCAGTTGACTCCTTATTGGAGTTATTACCCTTTAAAGGTGATTTTAAAAAAAATGTATTTCTTCGCTATTATCTTTGAAACTATAATAGGTAAATAGAATCTTTAAAAAGGAAACATTATCAGCAGGATACGATCTACAAATATGTCAAATGACTGAAATTGTTAGTTAACTCTTAACTAATTAAAAGAGTGGCCATTGTTGAAGATGCATGTGAGCGACATAGGCTCTTTAGGGCCTCTAGTTTAATATTGGTGTTGTTCTGTACATATTTTAGGCGTTTAAGTGCGATGGGGACGCTGAAGTGCAATGGTCACGCTGAATTTCGATAGCCACGCTGTAGTGCAATGGTCCGTTTGCTGATGTACGATGATCTACTGTGGATTCATTATCATTCGTGGATTTCTTGGGTACAGGTGAACCACGAAATTAAATGTTCAACGAATAACAAATTTTCTATTGGATTGTATGCACATCTTGGCAAAACCACGAAATTAAACATCAACAAACATGCCAGTTTTCTTTAATCCATGAAAATTGGTACCCACGGAAATAAATGAATCCACAGTATATTACGCATGATGGCTAGTTTAGAATCTTCAGATGTTCAATTATTAGGCCTATGAGAAGTAGATTGTTTTAATAGTTAGTAGATACATTATCATACGTTATTGTTTATGGATGTCCTTAGTAACAGTCGCAAATTTAATGTGAGATCATCCTCTTTGATTTTCTGCATTTGAACATAATTCTGCGTTAATATTTAATAATCTACTTGATTCCCCTCATGAGTTCCGCGTTTACAGTAATATCATGATACGAAGAATGTCTTCGGACCCGTGTGTATTGATTGAGAGAAGGCCACGCTCCATCGTATGTTAAACAGAACATTTGTGTAGATTTTGGAATAACAATTCGCTACAAAATGTTCCATCTCCACCAATCCATCTCCGCTTCCCATAGTATTAAGATGAAGAAGCCATTAATTAACTTTAAAAATCCCGAAAAACTGCTTTCAACATAAAAATGGATTTCTTCATCGACACGAAAAGCATTAAAAATATAATTTGTGTTGTCCATCTCACTTCACCGTTACCAAAATGGCACTTCGGCGTAGCTATAAAAAAGATAGCATCACAATGCCACTATCGCACTGCAGCGTGATCAAAAACGCATTTCAGCATCAAACCATCGCACATCAGCGTGACCATCGCGGTTCGGAGTATGATCGCGGTTCAGAGTCCCACATACATATTTAGCCTAAATCACATAAAGTATATTTATTATAAAATCAAAATGACAGATTTTTCCCAAAGTAATTTTCATTCACTGTTAAATCCCTTTACATTTTAATTGACGATAACATCAAGCTTAAATTGCATTCCTATATCTTTATTACTTGAATCAAACTGCATCGCAGATTGAATTTGACTTCACTGGTTAATGATCAAAATAGTATTGTCCACATTGCATTTGGCAAAACCTTTCGGAATTTTGGGTCCTAAATGCTCTTCAACTTCGTACTTTATTTGGCCTTTTTAGCTTTTAATTAGTTTGATTCGAGCGTCACTGGTGAGTATGTAGACGAAACGCGCGTCTGGCGTGCAAAATTTTCGTCCAGGTATCTATGATGAGTTTATTGTATGATATAAGATTCTCATAAATGTTACTTTTAAATGCTAACCTTGGTACGCCTCTTTCTCGGTCACGAAGAATATCTATCGTAGCTAGATCTACATATCCTGATCCATGTGGACTTGAAGGTGGAAGATTTAGATTTCGAAGAAAATTTGGATAATTATGTAGCGTCATGGCTCCTGGATGATCATTACCCATTGAATAGAATAGATTTTCCATTGAATTTTCCTCGAAGACTGTCTCTGATTTTTCAAAAACAGCATTCATCATATCATACTCATTTTCTGTAAAAAAAGGTTAATAATCAAATCATAGTTCATGCCATAATTCAGCTTTAAAATTAAGGCTATTTTACATGATTACCTCTTGGTGTGGCTCATTGAGTACGCCATACCAAGTTACAGACCACGGGAAGGAAATTTAATATCAAATGAAATAAAAATAATCTATTTCTTTTTATGAACCAAGGGTTTCTTAGAATATAAACAATTCACTTTATAAAATAAAATAGGGAGATGTAGCATGGTTTCCAACGAGATTAATACAAAAATGTAAATAATTATATTTTCATTTTTCTCGTTGGTTACCGTATGGATATATATAATGAGATAATCCCATACTGTTTATTAATCTATAAAAGAAACGAAGATATATCAAAATATTATACAATTTAAAAGAGAAAAATGAAACAGCAAACTTGAAACACAACATCCAATGTACGATTTTCATAGTTGACAAATGTCTACAAAACAAGCCAAAATTTGTTTGTTCTTGATACTTATAAATGAGAGACGAAATATACCAAAGGGACATTCAAACTGATAAGTCGAAAAATAAACTGAAATGTGAAGATATGATTGAAGCTTTAAATTTTCTCCCGGAAAAAAACATATATGTACGTTTCGGCGATAAAGTGTATCGGCAGGTAGTAGGTATTCCTATGGGCACTAATTGCGCCCCTTTAATAGCAGATTAATCCTGTATTGCCATAAATCACAGTTTATGGCCAAACTCAGTAAAGACACGTCATTGTTACATTTGGTTGACACATTCAACAATACCTATCGTTATCTTGATGATATTTTTTCGTTAAATAATCCAGAGTTCTCTAAATATACTACCGAAATTAACTCAAAGGAACTTTTAAATAAATAAAACATAAACAGCAGTAGTTGTCCTTTTCTAGATTTAGACATTTCAGTTTCTAAAGGGAAACTCCATACTAAAATTTACGACAAAAGAGACGATTTTTCATTCCCTATTGTTAATTTTCCTTTTTCAGACGGCGATGTTCCTTTGGCTCCATCATACGGTGTTTATATATCCTAACTCGTTCGTTATGCCCGTGTGTGTGTAGTGATGTCATAGATTTTAACGAACATAATCGATGCATCACTGGTAAATCATTAAGTCAGGGGTTTTGTTACCATAAATTACTTAAAACATTTACTAAATTCTTTCATAGATACAAAGATTTGATTAGTAAATTTGGCTGTACCTGTAGAAAACTTAATAAAAACGGTTTTTCACATCCTAAATTTTACGGTAATATTGTACTAAAAGCGGGGAAATCACTAAGTGATCCGTGTAAACTCATCGAACCTTTAAACAAACTTATTAGTAAAGGTTATCTTATTAGTGTTCTTTTAATATGGTTTACATTGGCACTAACTTCGATTTTGTCATTCACAATTTAAAACTATTTTTTTTTATAGGGATGTATAAATACACATCCACGTTTATTTTCTATTTAGATATTTCTTTATCTATATATACAAATGTAACATGATACATATCTATAATAAGGTTAAATCCTAAATATCCTACTGCCTGTCAATACTTTTATTTTGGTATTGCACAAGTCATGTCTTCTTTGACTGTTCATGGCGTTAAAACACTTAATCCCTGGGATGTGATTTAATTGATTTTAGTCTCTGATGCATACTTTTTTTATTATTAACTGTTTTTGGCTTTTAACTAGCTTTCTAGGAGCATCTGGCCTTTGTTAGTCTTGTATGTTTTTTTTAATTTTAGTTCATTTATATGTTTTTGGAGTTTAGTGTGACGTCTATTTCTATTGAACTAGTACACATTTTTGTTTAGGGGCCAGCTGAAGCCCGCCTCCTGGTACGGGATTTTCTTGCTGTGTTGAAGACCCATTGGTGGCCTTCGGCTGTTTCCTGCTCTTTGGTCGGGTTGTTGTCTCTTTGACACATTCCCCATTTCCATTCTCAATTTTATTCAGTAACTGTGAGTAATCTCAAATCGTACTTTTGTGTTAATTTGACATGTTGACACAATTTGTAATGCATTTTTATTATTCAATGTTTACTAATTTGGTGTTATATCTCGTCTCACTATTTTTAATATGTACAACCTTAAATTAGTATTTAGTATGACAATAAGTTTTCACTTCTGTACTCGTACTGAAATATATTTATCTCTTTCCCCATTCTCTAAAAAAAATAAAAGAATTAAAAAAGTGAAGAAAATAATAAAAAAAAACAAAAAAAAAAAAAAAAACACCTAAACTTTTAATTTGCTATTTATACCAATTTCTTTTTTTTAACATAAATTATGTTTATCATAGTATTAGAGTCAATCTATCTAGAAATTTCCTGATAAAGATTTATTGAATTTAATACCAATATGTTCAAAATATTTCTATTAGGTTTGAATAAAGCTAATTTCATTTTCCTGGGTTAGATTTTGATAGAGATCTAGAATGAGTATGAGCTGTGAGTTTGAAAGTTTAAATTAAAAACCACCAACGATCTTTGTGTATATACTCATAGAATCACCTTATTCCTATTTGGTATTTATATTGTTGAAAACCTTTCATAAGTTTTTTTTTTGAATAACATTCGATAAAAAGAGATGGAAGATCCTAAGGGGACATTCAAAACTCATAAGTCGAAGAGAAACCTAAAAACCTAGGACAAGAAAACGAAAGACAAACAAGTCCACAAAACACTTCATAGAAAAGGATTAAGTAACATGAATCCCTATCAAATAAATTAACTTTGGCCTCTGATCGATCAAGCTTTGGCCTCTGATCGATCAAGCTTTGGCCTCTGATCGATCAAGCGTCTATCTTCGGGAAAAAGAATTCTTACCAACATCATCTGTCTGGTAGTTTCTGATCTGTAGACTATCAGGAATCAGTGGATGCAAACGATAAGCAGCTATAAAGTCTTGTGTTATAGAATATGGAACTCCTCGAATATTCTTGGGATTCCCTGTGTACAAAAAGAATGGAATAAAATATACTGAATTTTCATTTACAAGAAATTACAAAACATAATTTCTATTAGATGATCTAACCATTCAATCGTGAATTTGATGATGCTCCCTCTAATTGTAATATACATTGTTACTGGTGTGGAAAGATGTATATAATGATATACCTTTTCAATGCAAAATTAACCATTATTAGAAAAATGTAACAAATGTTATCACTCGCATTAGATAATACATAAAAGTGTTTATAATCTTCTAATTTTACAGTCGATTGAGTTTAGAAGGAATTTTAACGATTTAACAAAAAAAAAAGGAGGACCAACATGCAAAAAGTTTGTTGAAATACTGTGTAATGAAGCTGGTCATTTTTTCTTTTTTTGATGTGAAATACTAAATTCATAAAATGTTCCCGCTAAACCGGATTACCACTAATGATAAAAGATATGTCAAATTGTGATTGCCTTTAGAAGGATATTGTTCGTACCTACAGATCCTTGAATTCCATTGGCTAATTGTGGAAACTGTTGTGCCAATTGGGCAGCTAAAGTTTCATTGTTTTTGGCAAACTCCAACAGAGTCACGCCATACCAATTGCTGACTAAACCAAGTATTACTAAATTGTTCTGCAAAATAGCTGGTGTCCATTCTAATGTATGAATTTTGGCAATGACAGCTGAAACAATTAGTCTTGCTGTATCGAATAATTTATTGTCATTCCATTTTGGATTTCTCTCCTTCAGCATATCACATATATAATTATGCTCTCGAGTCCATACAATGTGAAACATACCAAGTCCTACCCACCAGTTTATATTTTGTCCTAAAATTAAAGAATATATAAATTTCCCCATTATTAGTATAATGTATAAAACGCGGCCATAGGTTTCACGAGAGAGACCAGCCATCACTGGCCAATGCACTTTAACACACTTATTCCTAGCAGAAATAGGTGAGGTAACCATTGTGATTTTATTTACTACAGCATCATTACATAATGTTTATTTCTCTGGACATCTAGGATAGCGACAGATCAACAGATTGATATACATATACATTTGTAATAACTATGTGTTTTCTGTATGACCGCAGTGATGATCTTTAAAAAAAGAGAGAACATGTTAAATAAGTCTGATTAATGAAATAGATTGAATATAGAACGAGCAAAACAGTTTTCACATAAAACAAAAAAAGATACATTTTATTTGATATTAAAAAAGTTAGTGTTAAATGAGAATACGAAAAAAGAATTAAAAACCACAACATTTTTTTTATGATAGGCTGGTATTTCTCTACACCTAATCATGTTATGGTAAAAACTTCTAAAGATTGAAATGTCCTTTTTCCAAAACACATATTTTTTTAAAACACGTGTAGTTAGATATGAGATCAAATGGGGTTAGATAGTAAAGTGTGTCACTAACTTTTGACCCGAAGAAACAGAACATGACTTGCTTTACTTCAGAGTTTCATAAGAGAATTTGAAAAATAATACAAAAGATGATTTTATACACGCTTAGCATACTGAGGGAGGATATATGCTGAGAACATTAACATTTTAACATGACGTTTTCCGGTTTGAATCAAAATGAACACGATCTTTACTGTCAATACTTGAGTGAGGGATATATATATATATATATATATATATATATATATATATAAGTGCCTATAAATAGCAGCACATGAATAATGTTACCTTCCAAATCATAGAAGTCAACACCGAGTGGGACACCACGGCGAGAAGGAGAAGAGAAAATTTTTGGATCCACCAACTCCACACTTGAGAACCTGATGGTCTTAACGAAAAAGATGAGAAAAGATACAGGAAAGATAAAGAATAATTTAGTACACAGCATCGTCCTTTTTATCCTGTAATATTGGCCAATGAACGTTGCTAACTTCAACTACCAATTTTGTAAAAATCTTGAACTTCATCCAAATTATGTATTATTTTCAAGGCAGCTAAATTCAAGTGCAACATATACATTGAGCTGCAAAAGTTTCTTATCATCTACATCCGATTTCACCTGGATAGATGCACGCTTGATAAAGCTAGTTAGTCTAGCGAAATATTGCGTTTATTTTCATCATTTTGTAAATATTTTAAACATTCTTATATTTACATACTAAATAGTGTGTTAAAATTACATTGTTAGGCAATCTATATATATATATTTATTGAGAAACTACCCCTTTACATTGGGGGCAAACACCAACAGGGTATTAGTGTTTGCGTCATACAAACTATAAATATTATAAATACAGTGCACATAAATAAAAACATCACTATCATTAAAAATGTCAATATATTCGTAAAACAATTTCTTTTGAAACCCAACATTTGGTAATAAAAATTATATAAAAGTGAATAAAAGAAACCGTAAAAGTACGTTGCGACATTTTTAAAAGATTACACATCTATACATAGACTTTGTCTAAAAATACATGCATATTCACATAAACTTGACACAATTTCAAACTTTCATACATTTAAATAATTTAGACATTAACATGCAACAACTCATTGCGAGCTTTAATGAGTGAGGTTAGATATTGTTTTCCCATTTCATCAACCTTTTTTCCGATATCATCACCGAACAAAAAAGCTATGTCTCCGATAATAAATTGAAGTTTATTAAAACGAGGCAACTCTGAGAAAAACACGCCGGTTCCTGCATTAAGAAGGAAATCGTGCAAATCAGAAAGGAAACGTTCTCGAATATCAGTATATGCTTGGCATTCTAACAGTATATGTAAAACGGATTCTTCAGTACAACACGTTTCACATGCATTACTATCTTTCAATTTCATGCGGAATAAAACAGCATTCAATGGAAGACAATTTGTTCTAGCCAGAAATTTAAGACGAGAGGCCCAAAAAATCGTCTACATTTGATAAATACGATTGTCGTGCTTGTGTGACATAAAATGAACGGTAATCACCTAGGCTTCGCTTTTCTAGAATTTCGGACTTCAGCTTATTACAAGCGTCAATACCAAAAAACTTATTAAATGTTTTTATATTAACGTTTCCATGTATATAATGGTCCAGTCCAGTGGACTGGAATATGCCATTTATATGATTAAAATATTCATTTTTTAATAACTTAAGTTCGGTAAAAATCATTTTGCAATATCTTGTACCAGGTACAGAGTCTAATCTAGCAAAATATGTGATCCTTTGACGGTCCATATAATTTGTTAGAGACTCCCATCCTAACTCTGATAACACAGAGCATTTTGGAAAGTTCATTTTAGAGTTTATTATAACTTTTGCGACTTTGTACTGCCAGCTGTCTAGCATTTCGGTTCCGGATTTTGACGTTGGGTACCATACACCACAAGCATGAGCAATGGATGGACGTATAACCGAAATCCACAAAGCACAGCCAAAATTAAACCGATTAAAATCGCCATGTTCTCCTAAAACGCGAATAATATACATGTAGTTAAGTTTCTTTTCAAAGTTTTCCTTAAGGTATTTCTCGATATGATGATTAAATTTTAACGTTCTTGAGAAATAAACTCCCAAGTATTTATATTCGTTTACTTCATCAGTTAAAACATCCCCTAGAAACCCGTTTTTGTATGCGTTAAGTCTTTTGCCTACCACTAGAACTTTTGATTTTTTGGCATTAAACTTTAGGTTCCATTTAGAAACAAATTCACTGGCAATATTCAATAGGGTTTGTAATTCTTCTTCGGTTTTCCCTAGTAAAACAATATCATCTGCGAAGAGTAGACTACCTATAACTTCAGTCGCTACATTGATACCGAGATTCTTTTCTTTTATCATTGAGACAAGATCAGACATTAGAATAGAAAATAGTGTAGGAGATAATATACATCCTTGTTTTAGGCCAAATTCTTGATCAAACCAGTCTGATTCGTAATTCCCAAAAATGACCTTGTTACTTACATTTTTATAAAGGGAACGTAGTAGTTTCCAGCATTTTCCTTGAATACCATTTTGCCAAAGAAGATAAAAAAGACCATCTCTCCAGACTTTATCAAAAGCAGAGGATAGATGATAAAAGTCAATGCTTTTAAAACGGACGTTAATGCAGCGTGTATTAGATGTTCGTTAATAATTAGTGATAAACAAATATTTGTATGAAACAGATTGTGAATCTTTGTTTACAGTACCTTCAAGAAAAGTACAGAAAATCATTATCTTGTCCAAACCCTTAAACAAATGGGTATACAAAAAGAGTTAATAAAGTAAAGGAATAGAGATATTGACCCCAAAATGCAAGACGTGCATTCCTACTCCGGCTTAGGTATAACACGTTTAACATATGATCATTGATACTTATGTGTAAGTAGTGTTTAATTGTATTCAATTCATTAAGAAAATGTTATGAGCGGGTTCATTTTCAGTTACTGGATAATAAACAAAACATGCCCTTTTGTTTTAAGATATTTACAATAATAAATTAATGAAAGTAACACCTATATGAGTCGTGGCCTAAACATCGAGTTTTCTCTGATTATTGGTTGTTGTTAGAATAACTTAAACAAATTATTCGGTTTAAGATCTTGACTTTAAGCACAGGTCCCCAAATCTAATAACCAAAGAATGGACAATTAAAAATAAAATTGCCTTAAATTTCAGTTTTTGTATCCATGTGTTTGTTTCTTCAACTGACTATTCATATTTTGTTTGTTTCTTCAACTGACTGTTCATCATGCAGGGTATGTAGTAAACAAATAAGATGTGGTATGACTGCCAGTGAGACAACTATCCCCCAGATTGACGTAGAAAATAACAACTATGGGTCACCGTGCGGCCTTCAACGATTAGCAAAAGCCAAACCGCATAGTTAGCTATAAAAGACCCTAAAATGACAAATGTAAAACAATTCAAACGAGAAAACTAACTTCGAGATTTATGTACAAAACAATAACTACCCGACACATGTACAAAACAGTAAACAAAAACCAATTATGATATACAACAAAAAATGACATCCACTGAATTACAGACTCCTGATTTGGGAGAGGTTAAACAGAATGTGGCTAAGTTAAATAACATGTTTGCGGGTGACAAACCCTCCCCTAGTATGGGAAGATGATGCAAATAGCACAACTTAAGAAACAAAACTACAAAAATCAGTTGAAAAAGCTCCCATAGCCTGAGGCAATGGTGTAAATAACACTAATAAAGAAACAAACTATAAAAATCTTTTGAAAAAAACTTGACTCATCAGATCAAAGCACAAAAAAATAATAAACAGACTAAGGACACAAAGTACGGATTTGAGAGTTCTCGTGGTTACTAAAAAGCTGGTATGACTGCCAGTGAGACAACTATCCCCCAGATTGACGTAGAAAATAACAACTATGGGTCACCGTGCGGCCTTCAACGATTAGCAAAAGCCAAACCGCATAGTTAGCTATAAAAGACCCTAAAATGACAAATGTAAAACAATTCAAACGAGAAAACTAACTTCGAGATTTATGTACAAAACAATAACTACCCGACACATGTACAAAACAGTAAACAAAAACCAATTATGATATACAACAAAAAATGACATCCACTGAATTACAGACTCCTGATTTGGGAGAGGTTAAACAGAATGTGGCTAAGTTAAATAACATGTTTGCGGGTGACAAACCCTCCCCTAGTATGGGAAGATGATGCAAATAGCACAACTTAAGAAACAAAACTACAAAAATCAGTTGAAAAAGCTCCCATAGCCTGAGGCAATGGTGTAAATAACACTAATAAAGAAACAAACTATAAAAATCTTTTGAAAAAAACTTGACTCATCAGATCAAAGCACAAAAAAATAATAAACAGACTAAGGACACAAAGTACGGATTTGAGAGTTCTCGTGGTTACTAAAAAGCTAGTACAAAGCCAATGACAAATAAAAAAAGATCAAAGATTCAGGACAAAATATCAATCAGTACACATCTTATTTAGTGTAAAGACGTCATATATACAGGGTATATAAGTTTAGATTCGTGATAATAGGTACATCTTGAGTAAAGTTTAAGCTACATGGTAATGTATTCTTTTATTTGAATGGTTTTTTTTTTATACATAGAATTATGATATGTAATATGTTGATGTTACATAATAGAAAAGAAATGATGTGGGGTATCCATCCATGACACAAAATCAATATATGCACAGCAAAAAAGACAAAAAGCAAAGGAACAGCGCTTTTCTTGCTGTTCTTCATCTCAAAGCGTAGCCAAAAACGCTCACCTCGCTGCAAGTATAAGACGGTGATAAGTTTATGTTTATAACATTTGCTAACGGAAAATTAAAAAAAAAACTACATATTGGTATTATATTTAATAGTTTTTTTCTATATGAACTGGATTTGGAATAAAACGGCACATAGGAAACATAGAAAACATAGAAATAGAATTATGTACAGAGTCTTTTTCCTTATGTAGAGAGGTTAAGGAAAGTTCGTACACGTTTATCATTACGATATATATCTTAATAAAATGTTTACCATTTTAAATGATTTGCTGAAAAAAGTCAAGTATTTGGACCAAAATTATATTAAAAGAGTTATGAGTATACGAAAAGACACAAAAACTCAAAATGTATCAGTCATTAAAAAAAACAGTATAAAAGTATAACAAAAATACCGAACGCCAAGTCAAATTCAAATAGGGGAAGTCCATAAAAACTGACGAAATCAAACGCTATCAATCCTAAAGTTTGCCAATTTCTCAATCGCCTTAAGTCTTGGAAAGTCTTTAAAAAAATAAAACATTATCAACGATGTGTTATTAACACCAAACAATTTCCTTATATAACAAAAACGAAGTTGTATTAATGTACTATGACGAAAAACAGTCAGATTAATATCGCATTTTATTGGCAAAAAGACTGTTTTTGCACAGTTCCAGGCGAATTCGTTCTATCTATTATAACACTTCCCCTGCAGCATGGAGGCCGGCATTCACCATTCAAATGTCATTATTAAATTGATATATAGAAAATTGATAAATCTTACACACAACTGACTTACACATTAATGGATTAAAAACTGAGCTATATTTGATACTAAAGATTAGTAATTATTCACTCTTTTTAGATATATTTCAGATATCATACACACTTATTATCAGAAAATTTCTTAATGTTTTTGTCAGAAAACGTTTTTTTTTTATTGGCTCCCCTCTCCTTGACATTCTGTTTATATTTTTCTTAAATCTGGAGGTAGGAACATATGATTATAGTCAAGTCAAACATCATTTTGCGAAACAAGGACAAGATAACACTAGGTTCATGTATTGGACTGACACATTGTCCCCATATTTAATGAATATTTACAGTACTCACCAGTTATGGGTAATCCAGTTGACGGTTCTATTGGCAGGCGATTTTCATCCGTCAGTATAAGCTTGCCGTCTTTCTTTGTGCGGATACGTTTGATTATTTTCTTATTAACTCCATACAATTGAGATGCATCCCACCAGTGTGTGACTATATTTTGATATGAGTCGTAGTCCTTAACATCCTTACAGTAGGAGAAATCCTCTGATAATCTTTTGCAGATGTCTTTGTTTATTCCCGGCAGAGGAGTACAACCCTCGGACCGAGTTGATGGTATATTAATTGTTTCATTAAATTCAGGGTCATCATCTTGCAAGGAAACTTCCATTTTTCTGGGAAAATCAAAGCATTAGATGTCATACGAGTGATTGCAGGTAAGATATTCACAGTATATGTGTGGTGCGCCGCGATCTCGCGTCTGTGAAATCTATAGGCTGTTTTCGTTTTGTTTATTTATTATTGCTTTGGAAAATGGACTACCCAAATAAAGTTTTTATCTTATTTGTGAACTATTGCGTGTTTGTGTTCACAACGAAAACAAGAAGAAAACATGATAGTACTAATAAATGAAGATGAAATAGTGAATAGTTTTTTATACTGCCTTAGTATTTGTCATTTTGAAACTTGGCATTAATAGCAGATCCATATATACTGTTTAATTTCACTGATATAAATTATCCTTTACTTCGTCTTTATTTATTCCGGTATCTGAGTTTTGCTCGTCTTAAAGTCATATAAAACGAGTTTCTTGTAATTATAATGCTGAGGACATTATTGCACCAACCCATCCATATATAAAACTAAGCACTCTGCGCACGTTTTGTTTACATGTATAATTACGACTCCAAACAATCGACAAACAAATATTTCATTCTGTGATTGTTGATCGAAAACTTTACCTGCAAACTAACGTTCGTGTTTTTGGTGTCGGAAGTTAACCGATCGTTACATAATGATAAACAATCAACACAGAATCATGGAACACATAAAAAAAATGTGATGATAGAGCGAAATATATTTGTTTTTTATGTTTGCCATGCGACTTCATCAACCCAGTAAAAATGCTGACATGAATAATCATTGATATGGTCAAAATTGTAGATTAACTGTTAACAAAATTTTGAGATTTTTTCGAAATACTAAGGATTTTCTACCCGAGGAATAGAAAACCTTAGCTGTATTTGGCATCACCTTTCGGAATTTGAGTCTTCGATGCTCTTCAACTTCCTACTTTATTTGGCCTTTTTAACTTTTTTAATTCGACCTTCACTGATGAGTATTTTGCAGACGAAACGCGCGTCTGGCGTACACAATTCTTGGTATCTATGATGAGTTTATTGTTAACACACCTGGTAAACCATCAAATCTCAACCAAAGGATAAGCGAGAAAATCTTTACTGGCACTTCCTGTTGAGATTTTTTGGTATAGAATATAAAAATATAGATAGAGTAGGTCGACTATTCATCAATTTATTGTCAAATTGTAAATATTAAATATGATAATGTCATGCCATAGATAACTAAATGTTCTAGTGCTAAATAAGAGCTTGTTTCGTTTATTACTAGAACTATGTAATGTAAAATGACTTCGGAATTACTTTTTTACTCGCAGGTAAGTGCGACCAGCTTAGTGAGTTTTTGACAAAACGACAGTAAGTTCATTAAAACTAATGTATATATCAGTAAATTAGTATTCTTCTTCATCAATATAAATGTACAATAACAGCTTTTTTCTATTTCATGACGAATACTATTTTATTAAGCTGAATATCTTATAAAGTATGCCAGATTGAGATTGTCCTGTATCGGTTGTGAGATTCTTGAACAAATGTTGAGATTTATTGTCGAATAATACTTTCAACTAGCTAATTTTCAATCGGATACGAACGCAAAAGTCATGAACTATCTGAATAGTGGTTGTCATTTTGACTTGTTTCTAGTTTTGAAATTAATTTTGTATGACCGAGCCTTGTTAGTCTAATACAGATACTAAAGAGTAGAGGGTTTTAAAGTATAGCGAACGAGATGTAAAGCCTGAAGATTTAAATTATAGAGATGAAGATGCTAAGTAAGCGCAGAAAACGTGAAGTCTAGTGCTCAAGATATAAAGTCTAGCGCTGTAGATATAAAGTCGAGCGCTGTTGGTATAAGATAGCAATACATGTACACAGTTATGAGTTAAGTTTTGCATTTAGGTCCATGTGATTTTTTTCAAATATGAAAGTTATTGTGCAATAAAATTAATTCTTAGATAGCTGAATAATAATATAGTCTTCAAAGGGGGTTTATAGGAACATCAAGTTTGTTTTTTGCATGTTTTATAAGCTATTTTCTGTTTTACAGTCTGTATAAGATTGAGAATGGAAATGGGGAATATGTCAAAGAGACAACAACCCGAAGAAAGCAACTTGTTTAGTTAATTGGTTGTTGTCTCATTTTAAATAAAAGATGAGTCATACACGCTAATATTGTATTTCGGTGAATACAACTTGAGTTATGCCTCTACATCTCTTTCTATTTATAGTGAAACTGTACATCAGCAAACAAACAAAAATATTTAAAATTTGTACCTGCTTCTGTCATTTGTACCACTATCAAACCAGTCATGTATCATAAATTGTATCCAACCGGCAACTAGAATGTTTATAGTGGTAGCTGGTATAAATTCAGTTCTCTGCATCAGTTTTCTGCTGATTTCACGTGGGTTCGGTTTGTACATATTGCAGTAATCCTGAGATGTGACTTTAAGGGGAACATTCCTGCCTAAAAATAATATAATGTAATTTTACTCGATCTTTCGAAAAGAAAATTTTAACATTATTTTTTTTTTCAATGCTTCAATGTTGTTTGTAAAGGCGTAGTTTTTAACACTGTATTTAATCGTTTGTTTTGATCTCATTTTGTTAAAATGGAACAACGAGATTCTTGTCCCTGAAATGACAAACGTATACAATTGAACGGATAATAAAATAAAGCGATGTGGTATGATTGGAAATGAGACAACTAGCCACCAGAGACCAAAAAGGACGAGGACGTAAATAACTATATGGCACTGTATGGCATTCGACATTGATTATATTAGGTTTGTATGTCTTTGACACTATTGTTATCACTATCAAACGGTATTAATTTCCTTCCCTCTACAAAGTGTTCAAAAATAAAAATAGAAAAAATAAAACATTAAACAATTCAATCTACAAAAAAATCACTAAATGAAATATAATAAAAACGAAACAAAATGGAGTTGCGAGATGGCATGGTGGGCTGTGAACACAGTCGAATTGCTAAGTTAAATAGCATATAAATGAATTCTGTATAAAAATGAAAATAAAGAAAAAATTCTGCATAACGGGATGGTGACTAACCATGTATGATTCGTCTCTCTACAAACTTTGCAAAATACATGAGAGTCCAAGCTCTTTCCCGCGTAATATATTCGTTGAAACAGTTACTATGGAACAAATATTGCATGGCTATCGATTCAATACTAACCAAAACGGTAATTAACGCCTCCTGCTGCTGGATTGTCTAAGTCATTACAATATCCGTCTACTCGTCTTACTTTGTTCAAACTCTTTGAACATTTTGTATTTCCCTTTTTCAATTTACCTATAACATAAGTTTAATTCTGTATTACAGCGATAGGATGACAATTCTCAAGAAGGGATTGTTACTGTCTCGCTGATACACCTGGATTAATTTTCATAATATTGCATCAAATCGATATGTACATCCTATATTCGTTCATTTAAATTGACAGATAGATAATTGGATCATTTGGTGGGGTTCGTGTTGCTCAGTCTTAAGTTTTCTTCGTTGTGTTTTGTATAATGTTGTTTGTCTTTTGATGTTTTTTGTTTTTTGTCATGGCATTGTCTGTTTGTTTTCGATGAGTTTGAATATCCCTTTGAAATATTTCGGTTCTCTTTCAAAGTTATTTTTTCTTTATGAATAAGTTCCTTGAAAAAAATTATTTGCATTTATTTAAGCAAAACCAGAAAATGACTTACACGTTAATTTTACAACTTTTCAGTGAAAGTGTTATACAGAATATGAAAGATTAATGTTTTACAACTATTCAGTGAAAGTGTTCTACAGAATATGAAAGATTAATATTTTACAACTTTTCAGTGAAAGTGTTCTACAGAATATGAAAGATTAATGTTTTACAACTTTTCAGTGAAAGTGTTGTATAGCATATGAAAGATTAATGTTTTACAACTTTTCAGTGAAAGTGTTGTACAGAATATGAAAGATTAATGTTTTACAACTTTTCAGTGAAAGTGTTGTACAGAATTATGAAAAATTAATGTTTTACAACTTTTCAGTGAAAGTGTTGTACAGAATTATGAAAAATTAATGTTTTACAACTTTTCAGTGAAAGTGTTATACAGAATATGAAAGATTAGTGTTTTACAACTATTCAGTAAAAGTGTTGTACAGAATATGAAAGATTAATGTTTCACAACTTTTCAGTGAAAGTGTAGTACAGAATATGAAAGATTAATGTTTTACATATTCAGTGAAAGTGTTGTACAGAATATGAAAGATTAATGTTTTACAACTATTCAGTGAAAGTGCTCTACAAATTATGAAAGATTAATATTTTCTACAATAGTTCCATTTATTTATCAAAAAACAAAAACAAAACAAAAAACAAATGCTCAGAACTGGAGAATTTTTTAAAAATTTGATCGACGAACGCAAAATGATAAGAATATCTCTAATGTTCATTCGATATCAATTTCTTTGCTCAATTATAACCAGTTTTGACCGGCATATATTCAGAAACTTTGAAGTAATGAATTGGACAACTGAAATGGTATACTTACCTAAAGGATATGATATGCCAAAAAGATTCTTTGAAAATTAGAGGAAATTAGTTTTGTCATCTATATATTTTCATTTTAGAAAAACCGCGCATTACAGGGCTAGATATTGAAACTTCCTTCACACATATATTTTTTTACCGTGCTTTTAAGAAGAAATACGAGAAGAAAAAATATTACGATTTTATTATCAAATTTCTGATTGTTTTGTAACTGTTGCACATCTAGGACATCTGAGAAAAAATATAAGTTATCATGAAACATATAATGAATGAATGAACGACACGATTGAAATGTACATGTTGAAATGTACTATTATATTATTTATTTATGTTTTTTCTGTCCTGAATGTTCTTGCATTTATTTGTACTGTATTCCTGTCACGTAATGTTGTCATTTTAGCGGTATTTTGAACATTTCCATATAAGCGGGAAGTTTGACTAGCCATAAAACCAGGTCCAACCCACCATTTTTCTTAAAATGTCCTGTACCAAGTCAGGAATATGGCAGTTGTTATCACATAGTCAATTTATATGTATGTTGGCGTTTGTTTTTGTAGCAGTTCAGTGTTTCTGTTGTTCCGTTTTATTTCTTCTAATAGTTGATGTGTTTCCCTCAGTTTTGGTTTGTGACCTGGATTTGTTTCAGTTAAATCGATTTATAACTATTGGACAGCGGTATACTACTATTGCCTTTATTTGACTAGGATGTGTATAACTTACACTGATTTTAGATACCGAAGTTCAGAAGCGTTATCATTAACAAAATAAACAATGATGTTATTGAAGGTGTTCTTCTTGAATGCAATAAGCTTATAGTTCAAATCTGTAAGATCAAAATGGTCGCTTGCATCGACAAATGGGAGACCTGTTCAGAGATTAAAAAAGATAAACATAACAGCTAAAGCTGATACACATTTTTAAAGATTATTTCCGAATTTATATCCATTGACTCATTTTTTTCGTCAACAAGAACAGCGATCTAGTCTGAGGTGAACCAAGATATTCAAGTTTGCAGTTTGCAGCTCTTACCAACTTACCAATTTTGGGGTCAAAACATTTGCGTTTTTTTGGTGGACTCTCTGTATAACTATCTACTAAATTTTCCTCCTGTAATTGAGCCTGTGCACCAGCTAGAGCAACAACATCATAAGGATAAGGATATTGCCACCAGTTTGAAGGAACTGCAATTAAATATGAGTAACTATGAAAATTAGGAACATTTAATAAGTAATTAGAACAGAAACTTATAAATGAAGATATTAAAACAATAAGCATAAAGACAATATGGTCTTAAAAATCGCAAGTCGTTCATCCATACACCTTCAAGTAAGTTCAAACAACAACTATATATAACGCCTATGTCATTCGGTCTCTGGTAGAGAGTTGTCTCATTGGCCATCAAACCACATATTTTTGTATAACAAACATACCGAACTCAAAGGTAAATTAAACAAAGTTCACAAAAACTGACAAAATCAAACGTAATCAACCAACGGGACGAGTGGAAAACAAATGTCATAGTCCTGACTTGGTAAGACATTTTCCGAAGAAAATAGTGAGTTAATATAAAGTAAGAAGATGTGGTATGATTGCCAATGAGACAACTGTCCACAAGAGACCAAAAGACACAGAATTTAACAACTATAGGTCACCGTACAGCCTTCAACAATGAGTAAAACCCATACCGGGACAGGGGTAAGCCTGGCTTTATAGCTATCTAAACCTCCCACTCGTATGTCAATTGTTTATACTTCCGTGCAAAGACGCCAACAAAAAATGTTTATGTTGATAAATTTGACGCCACCAAAAAGGTTTTTGTAGTAAATAGTTAATTGACAAAGACGCCGATAAAAGTTTATGTATTTGATAGTACATACCATATACACTCTCTCGATAGTACATACCATATACACTCTCTCGATAGTACATACCATATACACTCTCTCGATAGTACATACCATATACACTCTCTCGATAAAGTACACATGAAGTCAAATATAAATACAAGGGTAAAAAAATGGAAACAACACTAATGAAAGTTGGACCTATATCTCAGTCGACATTTGAGATATCCTGGTCACACCAAGGCAGATCTCAATGGACTGACAATTAAGAAAAGCAAGAAAAAACGTGACTGTGTTAAAATGTTAAAAATGATGAGATCTACATACTGTTCATTTACACCAAAACTGTCAGATGACTTTTTGTATGAGTTATTGCGCAGTAATGACGAACTTTACCATTTTATTTTTACATTTTGCCTATTATCTTGCAAACTATAAAAGATCATAGATAAAAATTTTAAATAGAAAAATTAGCAGCAAGACAAGATCTACAAATAAGTCAAACATGGCAGAAATCATCAGAACTCTCCTTATTTGAATTATTGCCTTTAAATGGCGATATTTACCAATTTCTTGGTTTTTGCTTATTATTTTAAAACACAAATAAACAGAAAGAAATTTAAAACAGCAAAAATGATCCACAAGGCTTAATCGTCGATATTGCTGAAATCGTTGGTCAACTATATATAGGGGTTAGTGCTCTTGTGTAACCATTTTTTACCAATTCATTGCGCTTTAATTTGTTAATTATCTTAAAAACTATAAGAGATAGATAGAAACTTTGAAAGCAAAACTGATCAGCAAGACAAGATCAGTAAATAAGCAACCAAGTACCAAGTGAAATATCTCAAGCACTTCAAAGTTATAAAAGCTTATAATCATGAAGATGGTATTTTACAATGATAACAAATGTGTTATAACAAAAAACTTAAAAATATGTTATCTAGATGACATTGTCAGTTGTCGTCTCATATGAGTAATTGTCCTTTAATGACGATTTTTACCCTTTTCTATGTTAAGGACTAAAACAATTGAAGAAAGATAGAAACTGTCAACAGAATGTTTTTATCAGCAATACAAGTGCAATAAAAGATAGAAGATTTTAGTCATAAGTCACACACCTAGGTCTTTTGGCATCTTCAACAAATATGACACATGCTCTTTAGCCTCTTAGTAATTTTCATTATAAAACATATTGTAACTATGACTAAAGGGATGATTTTACTTTCCCTAATTATTAATTTTCCTTTTTTGGACGGTGATGTTCCTTTGCAACCATCTTACGGTGTTTATATATCCCAACTCGTTCGCTATGATTATTGTAACTTTATTGCTGTGGTCCTGTCTGGAATACACACACACACACACAATACTTTATTCTCTAAAAACCAATGCAATCATAGGTACAGAGAATGACATGTAAAAACAATATACAAATAATTATTAAGTCAGGGATTTCGTTACTTCATATTACTTAAAACCTTTACTAAATTTGTCCGTAGATGCAAGATTTGGTTTGCAAGTTTTGCTGTACCTTTAGAAAACTTATTGCAAACAAAATAGCACATCCTTAATTTTACGGTGATGTTGTTTACCTAGCCCGGAAATTCAGATACGATCCGGGTAAACTTATAAATCCTTTAAAATAAACTTAATCAAAAGGTTACCAATTCAACACTTTAACTAGATCTTTGGATATTGTTTTTTTATTAGTATAAATATTGATTTTGTTATCAGTTAATTAAAACCATACTAAATATTATTGTTATACACATATGCACTTCCACGGTACTACAATATGTCAATAATATTTTGGCATTGTACAAGGTCATGTTTTTCTCTGACTGTTAATGATGTTTTTATACTAAATCCATTGGATGTTGGATGTGGCCTGATTGATTTTTAGTCTAAGATACTTAATTTTTTTTATTAGTTGTTATTAGCTTTGATCTAGCTGTCTGTAACTGAGAGTACTCTCAGATCTGTACTTTGTGTGTTTTTGTTGTTGTTAGGGATGTATAAATACCCTGCCACGTACGGTCTGTGTTTTTGTTAGATGTTTTTCTGCTTTGTATCGATCTGACGAGTTAAGCCCTTTTTCAACTGATTTTTATATTTTGTTCTTATGTTGTGCTGTAACACCACTGTCCCATGTTAGGGGAGGGTTGAACGCTCACGAACATGTTTAACCCCGCCACATTCTTTATGTGCCTGTCCCAAGTCAGGAGCCTGTAGTTCAGTGGATGTCGTTGGTTCATGTCGGTTAAATTTTTTGTTCTTAAATTGTTTTGTTATAAATTAGGCCGTTAGTCTTCTCACTTGAATTGTTTCATATTTTTCATGTCGGGGCCTTTTATAGCCGACTATATGGTATGGGTTTTTTCTCATTGTTGAAGGCCGTACGGTTGCCTATAATTGCCAACACACTTCATTTGAACTTTGGTGGATAGTTATCTCATTGGCAATCGTATCACATCTCCTTATTTTTACATCGGATGACCGTGAGGGCATTCCGGTGTATTGCTGTCGCCTAGATTTCCATTACGTAACTTTCGTGTTGGGATTGTAACCGATCTATAAACATGATAAATACGCGGACATTATCGAGTGCAATCTCCCGTGCAGAGTTATCGGTTCTCGCTCTCTCTCAAGGACAGATAACTCTGCATGGGAGATTGAAAGTTTGGCGGGAAAATATGAATGCCTACTCAAATCCAATCTATTAGAAAAATCGAATTATTACAGAATAGTGTCCACCATGCACTTGCACTGCACTATTATTAATATAGTAGAATAGAATGATATACAAATGAATGCAAATTATATATACATGTAACTGTAATATACAAATATTAATATAATATACAACAACAAACCAGAGTATACTGATTTGTATCACTTCAATATCATATTTATTGCGGTGAGGTTGAATTCCCTGTCATTTATTTATCATCCACGCACGAACTTGTCTAAGAAAAAAAAATTATATCTGTACATTAACCTCACTTTCAGGTATAGAGATGTGATTTTTTTTTCTGAGACAAGTGCTTGTGACCATCCACAAGAACTTGCAGTCATCCGATGTTCAGTACTTCAGTACTTTGATTATATTTTATAATGATTCTCGAAATATCTTACCTGGTGGCGCTTGTGCTATAGAATGATTTACAACTAAGGATACGAGAAAAAAACAATAGAAATGTTTATGATCAGAAGTCTCCATTTTTTCCGGATCCACTTGATGTTATGATTTGTACGTTTATGTATTGGCTGTTAAATGTATAACCCCGTGAACTTCGGTACGGGTTACATTAAAGTCTGTTGGTCTATAATCGACACTGTGGCTGCTTTAAACGCAAGACCGTATACAAAATATACAAATTTATTCACAAGTTTACAGTTTCAAAGCTAGGGGAAGACTACCCAAGCAACAGTTTACAAAACATACAATAATTCATTAATCTCAAGTTAAGGATCTTAAAAACATTAGAATATAGCAAAGTACTCTCGACCAATGAAATTGTAGGATTGGATGCCTCTTAATTGTGAAGAATGAATGTAAATCATGTTCTTAGTAAGGAATTATACCATTATTTGGGTCTATTTACCGTTCAAAACAAAGAGTTTCTATAAATGAGTTACAACTGCCCCGAAGCACATTTATCAGATTGAAAGGATTTATCACACAGTGATTGAAACTGACTAAAAGTTGAGTTGTGAAACAAACAAAAATCTCAAAATAAGTTGAAGTTTACTGGTGCAGTAAAACTTGTATTCCGATAAAAAAAACAGGAATTTAATTTTGAACATATTAAAAACTTTTAAGGGCGTTATTTTTGAACATTTCCCTGACATAATGAAACAGTATTTGATGTAAAAAGCCGGACCAAATTATTGGCTGTGAAATAAAATTTAGTTGTAACTCAAATGTATTAATTGATTTAAACTGTAAATAAAAAAAAGGATAATTCCTCACTAAAATATTACATGATTTACATTCATACTCACAATCAGGAAACATACAATTCCTATCTTTTCTTTCTACTGTTGTGTCACCTAATATCTATAACGCATTTAAAAAAAAATATTTCCCAAATGATAAGAAAGTCCTCACATCACTAAAACTAATCCATAAATGACATGCCGAAAAAGGAAGTCATGCATCAATTATAAACATTGCACTGACAATGAAACTAGTTCTTGAATAGATCATTTGAGCCTTGAGCACTTTACAATATTCTAAGTTTGTAAGAGAATGATAATCCCTTACTTCATGATAAGTACTCGCTAACGCTCATACTTATTCATGAAGAAAAGGATTATCATTCTCTTACATATACTTATAAAAGGTTCTCATGAAATATATCTGTCATTGTCTAATCTTATGTAATCATAAACGGATTATTGTCCTCCGGCTAAACTTAGCAAAATAGCGATAATTGCTTCTTTTGAAGTTGAGTGTAAGTTTCGCACTTTTGACAGCCATCGGATTAAGTTGTAAAATAGTAAATCTATAATCTCTTTTGGGTATTTGAAATCAAGAAACATTATATTTAAGAATAAAGAAACATTTAAAACAAGAAATATTCAACTTAAAACTAAAATGAGAAATATTCAATTTAAAACGAGAGTTCATATAAATATTCAAATCAAAACGAGAGTTCATATAAATATTCAATTCAAAACGAGAGTTCATATAAAGTACTTTTCGAATTATGGTAAAAGTTCCCAATGTCACTTTTCTTCCGGTTATATTCTCCACTTCTCCCCCGAAGTGCTCGTCCCGAGCACAAATTGCTACATTTCGTATTTGGGTGGTAATCGGTTATTCCATCTGTGGGTTATAACTTAAATATACTAAAATGTTCTGAGGAGGGTGACAAACATAAATATACTAAAATGTTCTCAGGGGGGAACAAACGTAAATGTACAAAAATATCAATTTCCACTTCACAATTCAAAGGAACATGACTGTTATATGTATAAATATATATAACTACAAAAAGGGATGTTTTGTCATAATCATAAAGGCTTCAGTTTAGACTAAGTACTATAGATTGGAGGAAAAGGGGAAGGGTGCAATAATAATCATTGGCCCGTTTATGATCTTAACAAAAATTACACACTAAACTGAAAGGTTTTTGAAAACACTATCAAGAATTTGAACTGATTATCAGATTATCAGTGGCTATATTTATACCATATAAACAGGTTTTGACCAAACATAATAATGAATTTTTCTGACATGCAGTATACAGGTCGTCACTCCTGTACACCCAATGGAAACAAGACCACAAGACAGGTGACGAGTCCATCTTGCATTCTTGTTTCGGACCAAAATTGTATTATTAAATGATTTTGTTACACCACTGATAATCTCTGTATATGCAAGCTTACACTTGTAAATTCATCTACTTATAGCATGTTGCGTGAAATGATACAATAAAAATAATAATTGTGGTTATTTGGTATACTATAGTCAGTGATCTTTGTTCAAAGTTACAACCTTCACTTGTGTAATACACTAGGTTCTATGATACAACAAGGATAATCAGACTTTAGCTCGATTTCTTGGTGGTTTCTTACTGCCAGTGACAAATATCTCAGAAAAAATATGAATATTCAATTCAAAACGAGAGTTCACATAAAGCACTTTTCGAATTATGGTAAAAGTTCCCAATGTCACTTTTCTTCCGGTTATAAATGTATGGCGTTTTTTTCTTAATAAATAAATCTCCAGGACCTGCTTTAGCAAATTGAAATTAATCTTATTAAGTTATTACATAAAAAAATATGTAGGTCCGCATTGACAAATTTGAAAATATCTTAATCATACGAATATCTCTATCAGATGGATAGGAGTATTTATAAAATATGTTGGTTTAGATTAATCAATATTCATTCAAAACAAACAGACTTAGGGAACGACCATTTAACATCAAAAACCATACCCTCCCCCCCCCTCCCCCAACCTCCTTGAAGTTAAATGGTTGCTCCCTTATTGGATTGAGTAACTTTAATGTTTCTGGAATCACTTGACCAAAATGAACCTGAATATACAGTCTTATAATGAATTAAATACGTAGATGTAAAGCGAATGAATAATCTTTATTCTCATAAACCATATGGTGTCTTCCTGTTATTCCTACATTTTAAAAATACATATTCCTTCTGTTAAGTTAATTTGTTGTTTTAGCCATTTAGTTTCATTTGGTGTAGAGGTTACAAGTATAAAAAAAAATACGCCATTTTTACCTATTCATGAAGACATATGATTATAAAGGAAATAAAAGTGGATGCAATGCAGAGAATAAAATTGAAAATTAAATAGAGAAATGTACTTTGAATTTATATAAAAGGAAATTCCAAATATTTTAACAGTAATGCTAAAAGTATGATATGGTGCTTAAATCGACTGCATACAAATGTTAAAGTAAACTCTATGTTTTGAATTTGATATGATCTGATATTGACAAGATGTGACAAAAATAAAACAGGTAGAAAATTCCTAGGGAACAATCAGAAGCCATTAGCAAAAAAAGATGACATGGTCAAAAATTAATACAAACACACAAATAACAGTCCACAAAACAGGATAGTAAAGATTAACCCATACGGATCCCACAAAAACGAGGGCAACCTCAGGTGTTTCAGAATGGTAAGTAGTTCTTGCTTCACTAGTAGCACCAGTCGTGTGTTAAATGGAATCTCATCTGGTGATCAGAATCATTCGGTCATATCAAGAGGACGGGATTGTGGCCACAAAACGACGGACATATTCGTGGTGGGCAGATACCAAAGATTTGGTAACAATCGACAATGCATCATATTAATCACACATTTTAACTGAATTGTAGAGTCTCATTTTACATTCTTGGTAATGGTAATAACCATGTTTTATGATAGTAGGTATCTTCAATAACCATTATTGAACACTATGAAGGTTTCAATGATCAAACTAAAGGCTCTAAAGAGCCTGTGTCGCTCACCTGCATCTTCAACAATGGCCACTTTTTTGGTAAAAATCATCATGAAAGGGATATAACTTTATAATAAGTTAACTGACAATTTCATTCATGTTGACTTTATGTAGATCTTGTCCTGCTGATTGTTTTTGCTTTTTAAGAATTTCTATCTATAGGCAAAAACTAAAAAAAAGTGGTAAAAATCATAACTCCAATCACGAGTCGACTTAAGATTTCAGCCACGATGACTTATTGTAGATCCTGTCTTGTTAATAAATTTTACCCTTTAAAGTTTTCATTTATCTTTAACAGTTTTTAAGATATAGCAAAAACGCAAAAAATGTAAAAAATCGTTATTAGTGAGCAATAACTCCAAGAAGGAGTCGCCTGACGATTTCAGCCATGTTGGCTAATTTGCAGATCTTGTCTTGCCGATCACTTTTCCTTATTAAATATTCTTTCTATTATTACAGTTTTCAAAATAATCAGTCGTCTTACAGTTTTGAAATAAATAGACAGTAGGTAGGTCTTAACATTCTGAATATTTTTACCCCTGTCAGATTTTCTGTATTCATAGCGGTTTTCAAGATAATAGACAAAACTTGCATTTTACCCCTATGTTCTATTTTTAGCCATGTCGGCCATGTTTGTTAGCAGACACATTTCCAAAACTATATACCCTAATAATGATTGTGGACAAGTTTGGTTAAATTTGGCCCAGTAGTTTCAGAGGAGAAGATTTTTGTAAGTGATTAATCAAAAACGAAAAAAAAGGGTAAAATTAGTCATAAAAGGGCAATTACTCAAATAAGGAGTCGCCTGGCGATTTCAGTCATTTCACTTATATGTAGATCTTGTCTGTCTGATCAATTTTCCTAATTAAAGTTTCTTTCTTTCTATTATAGTTTTCAAAATAATAGCCAAAAAAGAAAAAAAATGGTAAAATTTGACATTTAAGGGCAATAACTCCTATAATAAGTCGTCTGACAGTTTTAAAGTAAATAGACAGCAGATAGATCTCAACATTCTGAACATTTCTGTCCCTGTCAGATTTTCTCTTTTCATAGCAGTTTTCAAGATAATACACAAAACTTGCATTTTACCCCTATTCTTCAATTTTTAGCTATGTCGGCCATGTTGGTTAGCAGGCGGGGTCATCGGACACATTTTATATACTAGATACCCTAATGTTGATTGTGGACAAGTTGGATTAAATTTGGCTCAGCAGTTTCAGAGGAGAAGATTTTTGTAAAAG